TTTTTCTCTTTTTTGCTCCTTTCGTTTCCCTTCGCAAGGAATAAAATGATTGAAAGAGAGAGAGAGAGAGAGCATAATGCATTACGGGCATTCCTCGTATAACACGTTACTTGTAAAAGACGATTTCGACATAACACGATAGAAAATTTTCAATACAACTCCGTACACATTACCTTGTTTTATATTATATCTAAATTTATATTAGATTATGCTATATTAAACCTTAGTTTAAATGTATAAACAAAAAAGGTCGTATAACCCTGTTTCGGAACGGGTACTGCATGAATTAATCCTATTATACATGAGACCAGTTTTCTGCAAACATAGTTTCGGCCATTGGAATTTAAACTTGTCAGCGTCAATGTTGTCAAAATTTTTTAAGAAAGGTACACATCCTTGTTAAGCAATCGAATTCAGTCACCAAATAATTGACGAAATCGAGACCCAATTAAGGATCGATTAGTGCAAAGTAGAGTTAAACGAACGCCTAAATTCAAATAGATGATTCTTGAATTTATGGAGGACTTTATCTTTTTCAAAAAAGTGATAATTTTGAATAGTGTTCGCCCTTAGGCCCAAACATGTCAGTGTACCAAATTTAATCAAAATATTTCGAAAATTATGTTCTATAGATTGAACGCAGTTTTAGATGGGCAGACATTAGAAGAATATATGGGCAAGCAGCCTTAGATCAATTCAGAAAATTATCGGTTAAATAAATGGTGGTTGTATGTTAACCGTTTATGCGTGTTACATACATACCCCGTATCATAATTGATGTAGCATACAGTAAGATTGAAGCTAATTCACGGCGAATTGTACATAAAAAGTAGCAGGATAAACTGTTTCGCAAAACCAAATGACACAACTTAATATTTTATTAGCCTTCTAAGAGGACTTTTCGATGAATAAAATTCCGCGAAAATTAGACGATGCGCTGGTTTGATAAAAACAAAGTTATGGAAATTTAGCGCATTAGTTGAAAAGTCATAAAATTACATGAAAAATCCACTTTACCTTGTAATTCCATTTTCTTTCAACAACAGAGCAATTTAACGATACAGGATACAAAATCTCACGCTGAGGAAATTTGGAAAAGCAAGCAACTTACAAAAATCTGGGAATTTCTTTTACAAAGGGTACCCCATCTAATTACCTTATTTCATAAAATTTAAAAACGTGATAAGCAGCTGCCGTGACAAAAGACGGTCACCAACAAACCGTCGATATCCTCGATACGAAACTTTATTATGTTAATTAGCTAACACTACGATGACGGGATTTCCCAAACATTTCAACGGATATTCATTTATTTACACAAACGGCCTTTACCTACGCAGGTACGATGTAAGTTAAACGTTTTTAACTCGCGCCACTTGTTGTATAGGGTACATTAAGTTTGTGCGGACGTTTGCAACATGCAGACGATCTTTTGTTACACCAATCAATTCAGAGTCATTTTCTTAATCGATCCAAGACTTTGTGTCGGTCTATCTGTTTCTACATATATTTGCATTCAAGCTGCGAGTCGCAATTTTTAAAATGAAATCTGTTACCACTGGCGTGTTTTCACCTAAGAGCGAACGGGATTGAAAATGTTCTGGATCGGCCCACTTTTTGCGCCAATCTTCATGCAACTAAAAAAGAAAGGCAAAAAATAGAAAGCATGTATTCGTCTTGCTCGAAAGCTTACTCGATGCAAGCATACCAAAAATATAGCAACTTTATATGGCTTGCTGAGGGATCGTAGCATAACATTGGAATATTATTATGACACCTTACACCTCTTGTCATACAAGAGTATTTTGGTTTGTGCGTATGTATCTAACACGCAGGACCACGTAACACGGGTCGAAGCTTGTTTGTCCTTGTAAATTTGTGCTCTGTCTGCATACCGCAATTCTCGATATAGTTTCAAGAAATTTTGTTGCTGAATTCGATCACTGCCCAAACAAAGACCAAAGTCGTTATATGAACAAACGGTCTAAAACTAAAAAATCGCTCAATAATAGTATTTCGACACTGCAAACTGATGCGAAAACTTAGGTCGGTGGAGGCAATTCTCTGAACTCCTGATCACATAATTGTCCCTACCCAAATTGAATGTTTGTGTACTAAGAAGGCCTAATTTTCAATAATTGTTAAGGAAAATTCGTTCAAAATAATCATTTGATACAAAAATGAAAATTATCGGTTTGGACTACGCAGGTCTATTTTTTGTGTATCCCAACACTTAAAAGGATTTTAATGAAAAACAAGCCTTTGTACGTCAAGATGAACAAATTTTTAATATGTTATGACGAAAATTGTTTGTTAGTACGTAATCATAGGGAATTTTGATCACATAGGCCTGCTTCTTAAGCCGCACCACATATTGGAGTTCTCACGAAACAAAGCAAGAAAGTTTTTCGGTTGACTAAAAAATACAAAAAAAAAACATTTGCTTATGCTTCTATAATGATCTGTAAACTAGGAAACACCATGATCTAGAAGAAGTAACCGTTATGTGAATGTATTAACCACATTGAAAGTTATGCAAGAACTAGTTTAATATCTTAAGCGAAAGTATAAAAGTTTCGAAAGCAGCTTTGTAACTTCAATCTGTCCACGAAAGAAGTGAAGGAACATCTCAAAAGGATAAATGGTAAAAGTGTTAAGACAGCCATAGATGTGAAAAGATTTGATTTGCTAGATTCGGAGACGAGAAAGATGACGTAACTATTTCCATAACTCTTAATGTAATGGAAATAATGACATCCAAGGCACATATCCATGTACTCGATCGCATATTTACGCACCTAATGGCTACATGATCATATTGGACGTTTACCCAGATGCAGTTCGAAATCGTTTCCAAATCTAACACGATGTCACGATCGCTTAGATCGAGCTATAAACGTTAGATTCCTCCCTGTGACCGTTGTTCATGTGTAACACTCTATTATTTTATTCATCGCGTTAGTTACAATCCATAATAAATTAAATACTGTTAATATTATCTCTTATGCAATAGTACTTTTGCATTGCGTGCAATCTTAGCAATAATTTATGACTTTCTTCCGATATGCGATCATTTTTGCAAATCGACGCAAGTCGTAGGCTAGAAGCACACGTTCTCATTATATCAAGCCTTGACGATATCGCAATCACCGGACAAAATTAGTGAAGAACTTTCAGATCGTATATCTGAAAAATGATGAAAATATGACAAAATTGACTTTTCAAGCTGCTGAAATAAGTAAAACGAAAGCAAATTCTACAGCTAAAGTCCTAAAGCGCTAGCACTAATCATTTCCTTACAAAATGCTTTATTCACATTTTCTATTATTATTATTATTCTAGTTTATATAGTTAGAGAAGTAAACTCAAACCCTAAGGTCTCAAATTACCCCCACTAGTTGTTCAACAAGTACTTGTTGATGAACGTATGTCGTTTTGGTATAAAGTGTTGGGCTGCCTTGTTGTTAGCTCCTAGTGGAGCATCATTGCTGATGCTCATGGGTGAAGGTCACGATCTATTCCTGAAATATTTTGCTGGCGAAACGTTGCGGTTGCATAAGCAGTCGGATAATCTGTATATGCTAATGAACATACTTGTGTCGGCTGTCAGTCGTTTTTGTAAAAGTCATGTGTCGGCTTTGAGTCGTTTTAGTGGGGGTAATGTGTCATGTGGCGACTATAAGTCGTTTTTGTGGAAGTCATGTGTCGTTTTTATTGGACTGCGTTGTATGGTTAACATCTCTGCTTTTATGTATAAACCATCTAAGGCTGTCGGCTTTGTTGAAAACTCGAGCGCGCTTGAAATTTGAATCCACGACCATTGATATGTTATATTACTTCACAGGATCGCGAGGAAAAAAAAAGACAGATTAATTGAAATCTTGAGTCAAAAACGTTATCAATTAGGTTACAAGGCGCGCTTTACGGTGGCGGACAGTTTTTCAAGGCGCAACTTTCCATCGATCTTTATTGCGAGCTGTTTGAATTAGAATTAGCCATGATTGCAAGTCACGCCGATGCAAAGCCTTCCTGGATCTGCTCTAATTAAATCAAAAATAAAAAGCCGCAGAGACCACCTTTGAACTACATATATAAACATAGTTCTCTACGCGAGTCAACGAGCATTATAGGTAATTATGCATTGTTACAATATCTTTGAAAAATTCTCGCACATTTTATTAAATCGAATGTTTACTTTTATTGAATGTTTTAAATATTTTTTACATATTTCTTATAAACCTTTCAACATGTCTTGTAGTTACATAGTAATAGATGAAAAATTCCGGGAAAAAGACAAAGGCAAACACAAAAGTCCATTAAATTAGATCGCACTCCGTCTTTTTTTTTTTTAGTCTTTATTGAAGTAAAAATTAAAAAAAAAAGGAACGGTGTGTGCGAACTTTAAAAATTCAAATAAAAATTTGATAAAAGTAATCCATATTTTATTCTTTAGAGATTCCTTAAAAAAATTAGGCTACGAACTTAGTTTAAGAGTAGAATGGGAGGAAGGAATAAAAAAAAAAAAAAAAAAAAAAAAGAGAAAGCATCTTGTCATCAAAGTTATACTTGGTATGATATGAGGTGTTGTCTGATCGGATTGCTCTACATGAAGGAAGGAGTTGTATTTATCTTAAGGTTTAAAAAAATAATATTTTTTATATTTTTTAAACAAAAGCCCAAATTTTTAAAAAAAAAAAAAAAGCATTTGTGTTAATCTCCTGTAATTTTAAATACACATACGATAGTTTTTACTTTCCTTTTAATTGGCAGATGGTCTTGAAAAAAAAAAATAAAATAAAATTGGAAATTATAAAAGAATTTGTTTTCTCTACCCTCTTGCTGCTTAAAGTGCATACTTCGCAACGATGACGGCTAATGATTATGATGCACACATCAATCGTTCACTGAATTACGCATAAAAGCAGCATTATGAATTTACTTCTATATAATATATATTGTTGCCGTTGTAGGTAGTTGCAGGAGGTTGTTTTTCTTATATATTTTTTTTTTTTTGTTTTTTTTTGTTTCTTTTTCAGTTTTTCAACTATTTTCTTAAATTGTTAATTGTAAGTAAATTATTAGAATTAAGTTTGTGTATGTGTCGTTTGTGTCAATGTGTTTTAATATTTATATATATTATGTATTATATATAAAAAAGAGGATTTAAGAAAAATTAAGCCGCTACTTCAGTTGTTTCCGCACCATTTTGGACATCCTCCTTCGAGGCTTCCTCTAATTTAGCCTTCTTCTCAGGTGTAACTTCAGCAATTTCTTCCGATTTAGGAGTATCAGCTTCAGTAACTTTCCTTTTAACAGCTTCAGCAGGGGCGGCATCTAAATGCAAAAAGAAAAAAAAAAAAAGAAAAGAAAAAGACAGGAAGATAATGTAAAGCGATCACAAGAAATTCAAAGCAATGAAAAACAACGTCTCCTCCCTTAGGTCGAGTTGGTGCGGCAAGGCTTTTCTTATTTATGAAATGCCAGACAATTAATGACGATTTGGCTTGAAATTGGAGAACTTATTTGCTTTTATATTGGTTTTGAAATATCGCAAACCACCATACCGACAAAGGACGCAAATGTTAAGATTAATTTTCATATATAAGGAAGACGCCAAAAGAGAAAGACTGACTTTAGCGAAATTGACGGGTTTTACGCGATTAACGTAGTTTTCCAACAAAATCACCAAACTCTTATGCTCTCAATGCCCAGTTAGTCATAAGAATAGTTATATATACTTCTATACATAAACATATTTCTATATATATATACATATATACTTCTATATAAATTTATATTTATATAGGTATCTCACCTGTAGCATCACCATTGGCTTCAGCTTTAGCGGTTTCCTCGACTCCGTTTTCAGCTGGCGCTGACTCAGCGGTAGCAGTTGCTTCAGATGTGGCAGCGGGAGCTTCAGCTTCGGCGGCGGCATCTGTATCATCGGCGGCAACAGCAGTTGCGGCAGCCTCGCTGCCGTCCCCATTTTCCTTAGTCTCTTCGCTGCTGGTGCTTTCAGCCACTGCTTCAGCATCACCATTTTCTGTGGTGGTGGCTTCTTCAACAGCAGCGGGAGTTTCAGCTACTACCTCCTTATCCTTTTTTGTTGCATCAACTTCCTCGGCGGCTACTTTCTCGACAACAGTCTCTCTATAAATAGTAATAATAAAAAAAAAAAAAAGATTAAACAAATAAATAAATTATACACAACACTAAAAATATTGATTCACTTTAGTACTGTGAATATTACAAAAGTTGCTAATGTTTCAAAACAAAAATTTATTAAATGTAAATCTTAACAAAAATGACAAATCTTTCGAAATTATTTTCAAAAGCTTATTAGGCTTTTTGATTACACTTTCATTACGAGCGAGGAAAAAAAAACGCGGCAAAATAAGAATGACCATGAAATGAATATATTTTACAAAAACAAAATCTGAAATGTGCCACGCAAAAAATAAGAGTGAAACACAACGAACGCTTTATTACACACCACCAAAAATAGAACCATACATACACACATCTCTCAACACTACGGTAATATATAAACAAACAAACAAACAAAACGACGGTGGTGATCTACTCACATTTTGGCTCTCTATTCACAAATGTCAACATGTGTGTGAGAAGAAAAAGCGCTACTTTTTAGTGCATTTTGTATTTGATATAATTGAAATGTAACCACTAAGCAAGCGAATTCTACATGAAAAGTTATAAAGTATTTGTGGAGCTATTTATATAGGCATAGCACGCGCTCCTTTACCACGCTTAAACAAAAAAAATATACTCGCACGACTTACAAAAGAAGAAAGAGAAAAAGAGTGCATATTTGTGCAAAAGCGAGGGAGAATTTAACACACATACACTTATCGTATGGTACATCGAGGATAGACAAAATAAAGGTATATAAATTAAAAGTTATCAAAGAAGTAACAATGAAATGGGACAGCTGGTCAGCCGACTCATTTCTGAAAGAGAGTTAGAATTGAAAGCCGAAAAAAACATTGTAGAATGAATAAACGATGCACATTTTGTAATTAGCGCTTTGTGTTAAGAGTGTGAAAAAACGTGTTTCTTATGCTTATCAATGAACTATGAGAAGTAGTCGCTTTCCTTCTCAATATATTTATTCCCTTTGTAAAGAAAATACTAATAATAATAGTAAAAAGCATAATGCGCGTGCATTCACTAAAGAAATTTTGTACTCTTTTTCACAATAGAGTATGGAATAGGTGATGTGAATGATAGGCTTCGAAAGTAATTTACTTTTATCAGTTTCAAGAGAAGCCGCTGCATTTTATATCGCACTTGTTTGAACTGAAATGAGAGGAACGTTATATTCTACCTTAACCACTACCGCGCCAAAAACTTTAAACCAACAACCTAATTTTGATCCACTTATGTGTACTCAATCACGAAGAGAAAAAAAAAAAAACCAAAAGACCGACGACGACACTACACCACCATCCATTTTTTTTTTTTTTTTTTTATAGTGTGCTTTAATTCCATTTACTCAGCTACCTCAAGCGTTACTATCGCTGCCGCAGAGCTACCACTTGGCGTCTTTTTCGAACAGAAAAAGCAAAGAATAAAAACGAAGAAAAAAAAAACAACCAAACATAAACCTATGCTATCTCTTTCCTTTTGCATTGTCTATTTGTTTTATCTTGGATAGCAATGGGAGAAAAAGAGATAATCGGACATAAGGACGCCGTTTGCCGCTGTTTTGTGTATATAGACAAAATTTGAAAATTTTCACCGTTGGTTTTTTTTTTCTTCTATATAAAAGCGCCCGAGACTTTAAAGTTTTCTTTTTTACACTTTGCATAAAAAATTAATTCACTTTTTTATTTAAAATTTATTAATTTAAGCGAATTTCATTCTTTTATTAATTGTTTCTCTACTTAAAAAGACAATTAACCCAAAAACACAACCAATTACTCACTTGTTTTCAACTGCAACATCGGCCATTTTGTTAAGAGTTTTTAATTTTTTTCTTGTAAAATAAAAATGTAAACGATTTAATAAAATTCAGATTACTTTTACACTTTTATATATGATCCTGTATTTTATTGCCTGAATAAAACACAATTTCAAATCAACTTTATTTAATTGAACTTTATGAACAAGAGAATTTGCTAGACCTTTTTTTTCTCTACACAACTTTTTTAGCACACACAGAGAATTGAAATCAAAAATTAAATAATTTTCTCTTTAAACGACTTTTTTTTTCAAACTTTACTAAACAACTGCACACGTCTGCACCGCTTTGATGAATGACGATGAATAACGCCGAACGCGAAATCGAAGTTTCGAATTTGTTAGCGTCCATGAGTTTTTGCCGACATGTGTGCAAAATTCCATTTATCTTAACAATTGTTAAACGCATAAGTGTAAACAAGATGACTATGTTTGTCAACCGTGAAGAATGATACAGTTTTTTGTGCATCCATGCACATTATTGCCAAGTTTCGATATCGTTAATAGCGTTCGGTATCTTGCATTTTATCGCACATGGCTACCGCGGAAGCAAAACGAAAATGTACAATGATTTTTATCTCCACTCTAGGGAAATGATTTTTAGAACTATATGTTCTGAATCTGAAAATGCTGCTAACTTGTTGCGTTCTCTCATTTGGCTTCCTTTTCTTTGTTGTTACGGCATATTTCATTTAGAATCTATCCAAAAAGCTTGGGAAATAAATAAATGTTAAGGCAATGTGAGAAAAATAACAAAATTATTGGCTGTTGAAGCCTTGCTTATATTCTCAACGCAATTAGTGTATAAATTTACATAAGAAAAACTTCATTTTGTTTACAGTCATTGTTTTACTTTGGGAACATACGATGCAAGCTTAGAAAATCCTTTAAAATAATTTAAAGAACAAAAATGAATTCACTTCTAAAATTGAAAACTGCTCTAAACAGCACTCTGCACACGACTTAGTCAAAAGTGAGTCAATGATGCGATACATGTAGAGAATTCTAACGGACAATCGTGCGATCTGACATCCTAATATCATTAGGGTGCCTCGCGCTACTTAAATTTTTTGTACACATTTTTTATGCTTTCTGGAACCGACTTGGGCGATCCATCATTGGTATTCATCCGGCCACGTCTAACTTCATCAAATCTCTCCTCTACCATTTGTCTGGATGGAGCCGAGTTCAAATTACACTCGTCAACTCGCATCACTTGCTATTTTTTCTTTGAAAATAGCAAAAGTCACTACAACAAAGTTTTTTTTACACATTTCTTGTTTTCTTATTTATAACCGGTCAATATATAGTAAAATATTTCATTAACACACAAACGATTTTTGTGCAAATCAATATATATTGATTATATTTTATTTATTAAAGTAAGTAGAATATGTTTTATATCAATATTGTTAAAGAAATTTCAAATAATAAAAATAAATGAATTATTAACATTGTTTGTTTATATTATTGGTTTGGTTTTATTTGTTTCGCAAGCGTCAGATTTGGCATTTCAATATGTTGTTAAATATCCTCCACCGTAAATATCCCCGGCAAGCAAACTATTTCATACATGTTTATCTCGTAAATATCCCAGACAATGCAATTGTATGCATGTTTATACACATGAATAATAAAAATGTCCCAACTTTCAAATATGTAAAGAAAAACACAAGAAATTTTCTGATTCCGATATCATAAGCTAGTGGTCAAAAAGTCATGAAATTTAAATTCGCTTCACTTGAATTCTGGAGAATTCTAGCAAATTAAAGGAGAGGTAAACAAGCGAACTTCGAATTCTGGCAAATTAAAGGCGAAGTGAATGAGCGAGCCAGAATTACAACTTGTTGTAATGTATTTGAACTTCGAATTCTGGCAAATTAAAGGAGAAGTGAATGCTGATTGTTTAGAGTTACATTCAAAAGAAAGAAGTCTTGTAAGATGTAGATTTACTCTGCAGGATTCTGAAAAATTTCTTTTCCAGCAGAATTGAAGATTGGCGCTATCTAAAAATCGTTCTAAAGTCATCCTATATCTATATATATGTCATGCTACGAACGTAGTGAGTGATGAGTTGAATAAATATGAAAAATTTAGACAGGATGGGGTCCCGAACTCTCGGCAATAAAATACGCTTCCAAGGAATAATTCTCCCTAGGAGTAGGTATAAAACACCTTATGCTTGCCAGACGACAGCAATGGTACCGAAAGCATTGTGAAGACTTGAAGAAGTCGATTATTTGTCATAGTCGACGATCTATCTTATAATCGCATCATTGTCAGATCATAAATTAATAATTAGGACAATAATGCTTCCGTATGGATTGTTATTCATTTTGGGAAGAATTACAGGCAAACCAAGTTTAATAAATGCTTGTTAGGAGACTTTGTCACGATTGTATGCTTTCGGCTGGGTTACTTCTTGGTAACAGAACACTACATAAGTGTGTAGTAGATATACGGAAACGTAACTCTCTTGCCAGTTGAGAGATTGGTAAACTTTTAAAAGTAAATAACATATTAACGGTCGTATCTTCTATGGGTTTCAAGTGCTATTACCCACCAAACTCTCCTTTCTGGCTGGTTTCGTCTTAGAAAGATGACAATGATGCGATAGAATGTTCACAAGCATGGAGTTACGCTCACGACAAAAGTGATTGCTTTATCCGATAGCTTTCCTTTACTTAAGTATATATAAAAATCTTAAGTCGTCATCTGTTTCTAAATATTAAAACTTATTTTTAAATAAACTTTCCGGAGATTTGCAAATATCGTCGCGTTGTTAGTTTGACCCTGAACGATGGCTGTGGAAATGGTTAAGAAAATCAAATCACATAATTTAGAGAAGATTTTGCCAGATAGAATCGGGGGATATCGTATTTCCATTGGACACTACAAATAAAATACGCATAGTTGGCGGAGAAAGTGAAATATCAAAAACGGTCATAACCATTTTGTTAACATTGAATTCTTAATCGATCAAAGGATGTTTGTGCGAAACATCATTTTCCTTTCTTCATTTTTACGATCGTGGGAAGTAGACGAAAATAGGGGATCAAAGTGATCCCTTTTGGGAGAAATAGTTGGTATATGCAAAACGTCAATATTTCTATACATTCGGTCACAGGAACAGGTAGGTTTGAATCGATCCAGGTAGTGTTTCTGAATCGATCGGTATAAAGAAAGGTGGGTCTATCTCCGATCATATATATTTGGACCAACTTCATATACATCGAGCGGCCTGAAGACCATTCCGGGTCAGTGTGAAAATATATAATATGTGTTTCAAAGATCAGCTCAATTGTCTATGATCGGTACTGACCACCATGGCACAATTACATGATAAGATTTCCCCCGTTAAATAGTGCGTTACATTTAAAACTTTAATATTCACTTTACTTAATTACACAATCTATTTATCTAAAAACGAGTAAAAAACACCACATTTGGCCACGTCCCACCGCTAATTACTCTGCATCACGCTACAGTTATGCAGATTAAGAATTTTCAACATGAGACGTTATATTTATTGGAAGTGATTGGGAAAGTGATTCGATCCGAACCATTTTTGCCCGTACCTTACTTAAGCACCAAATTACATCAAAATATCGTAAAAACAGCGCCTTGGCGCTTTCATAATACTACCCAGACAGACGGACAAACAAGCTTGAATCGGTATAATAAAAGTTGCGTCTATCTCAAGTATTTCAAGTATTTTACATGCATCCGCACAAAATTGATGTGATCTTGCATCATAAGTGATATGAGGATAGAGTATAAAACGAAAAGAAAGAATAACTATTGAACGCTTCAATATTTTTGTTTCGTTGTATTTATTGACGTATATCAAATTCAAAAATCTGTGTTCAAGTTCTTAGGGGAATCTGACAACAAACGAAAAGTGAAAAATCTAACGTATTTTATCAATAATGTTAACAATTTGTATTATATTCTTTTGCAATTCTACGCTTTCTAATAATTCTGCAAAATTTTTCTATATCTTTCTATATTGAGATTAATAATTCAGTTATAATATGATACTCGAACCGCTTTTTATGGGTTTATTTCGAAAGGGTCATGTCTTTGGATAAAAATGAAAGCTTCGAAAAAAAAAACAAAATAAATAAATAAACATGGAAGCTTTCTCTCATTTAGTTTTTTTTTTTCCATTATCCTGATAGAGTAAGATTGTCAAAGGTTGTACTCTAGTCTTCGACTGGTCGTAGGAAACTACATATCTGAATGAATATTTACGGACAACGAAAACAATTATAATTAAAGATAATTTTCATCCAAAAAAAAAAAAAAAATTCTGGTGAATGCATGTAAAAAAAAAGAAAAGAAAGAAAAACATTATCAACAATAATAGCATAATTAGAAAATTTTAGGAAAATTAATACAAAAGCCTAAACATGTTAACTAACAAAATGCTACTGCATACGTACGCGTATAAATAAATAAATGAATAAATAAAAATAAGGTATTTAATCAATGAAATAGAATTTGTTAAAACAAAAAAAATAAAAAATAAAAAAAGCATTTAATACGCAGCATCTGATTTATATGAAGAAAAAAAGTATTTTAAAAAAAATAAGCAAAGAAAAGTTCGACAATTATTTTTTGCTATACAGTAACGCATGTATTGAAAAACAAAAATTTTAATTAAGCAGAGTCCCTGGTTATTTTGTGTATGTATGCACAAACATACGCTTACATATATAACGAGCACGCAGACGACGAAATATGATATTAATGTAAGGATTTTCGTAAATTAAGGACGTTGCTATTTCGAATGTCTTGCTTTTAGTAGATGCGTTGCTTGCTCTTGCCGTCTTGTCCTTTAATATCCGAAACGTTCCCTTCGCACACAACCCTAACCTCATAAGGTAGAAAATTTTCACTTTAATTATTAACGATTTCATATCCTGCCGTCAGAAAATGCTTTAATAGAATAAACGATAGCCCAGAGCACGACGATATCAACAGTGCATACAAAACACGGGCAAAATTTAACGGTAGCAATTGTTTCATAAAAATCCTTTCTTTTTTTTTTTCCTTTGCATATTTTGCTCTTCATCAATAATCCATCAGCCAAAAGTTGGAGCGTTTATTATTCGTCAATTCAAGTTGCAATAATTCGCAACTCGCATATATTTGGCTGAGAAATGTTCGATTTTGGTCGTATGATTGATTTAGGCAAATTTATTTTATTAAGGGTGATATTATCGTTGTAAATATTGAAATAGGAAACTGATGAATACTACGTTTCTTGTGCTCAATACGGTCTTATAAACGGATGACCAGAAGCATGGCTTCTCCTTGTTCATGTAAAAAGTGAAAATATTAAATATCGTTGCAGGATCCGTACACGGAACATTTCAGTCATTGTTGACTCTATCCGCGCCAATGTATTATATATGAAGTGAAAATGTACGCGGAATAGTATCCGAACGATGGTAGTATATATCAGTGGCAACACGTTATATATTTCCAAGAATATTCAAATTTAATTCAACTTGCTCTCTTGTTGGGGAGAAGCCACATCAGCGCTATCGTATTATGTAAAGCGGCGCAAATCATCTGATATATCCCAATAGTAATTTAGCTAACGATTCGACTTTGATCGCGACACGTACTCCTGCTATTTATGCCATTATCTCGTTCTTATTTAAACCTACAAAGCTATAAGAATTTAGATTGAAAAGAATTCAAAACAATACCACTTCGCGTAACACAATACTGTATTTATTTTTATCGCAAAATACTACAAATTGTATAGGCGTTCCCTCTTTAACACGGTTTACAGCTCGTGCAGCGTTGCATTGAAACCTTGTTACACGAAACGTTTTCAGTTTTGTTTATTTAAATTAAAATATCGTACATATATAGTGTAAAATAATTTAAACTTAGATATAATATAAATCCAAAAAATCTGCACCGTGTTTGTAATGAAATCTTATTTGTGTTGTGTTGAAACCGTATCATAATATTCGCAAATTTTGGACCGTCTTATTTCGAAATGTGCTTCACAAGCACCGTGTTTAGCGGGAAACGTCTATAATCAATTTTTTAAAGTCTCGTTGTATCGAAACCGTACGGCGGGGGACGCCTGTACACGATTTTTTCAAATTCAGTTATACCGAAACTGTTATTATTCCAGTTATTTGCAACTTTTGTACCATCGCTTCATCATCATCTTAAGTGAGGGACGCCTGTGAACAGCTAAGTTTCATCGAAGAGACTTGGTTTAAATTCGGTAAAAGATGACCTAGACTTTAATTGGTTTTGTCATAAAATGTCAAAAATTAGTCTTTGTAGTCATATAATCCTTAAAGAGTTCCATTATTTGCAAACGTTCACACCGAAGGATCCCGACCTCAGAAAGGCCTTTCCTTCTGGTGTTAAATCTCCCTGAAGACAATCGCTTATCAACGAAGATAGTATCAGCCGGTGGATTCTTCTGGCGAGCTTTGTACGCAAGTCCTCTTCCATGCACTAAATTGGGCAAAACTACCCGTGAGTGGTAAGCGTCCGAGAGAGGAAAATTCCACTAATAGATTTCCCATCCACCTTTAAACTAACTCCTTCAAATCGCTACTGTGAAGTCAATTTCATCGTAAAATATTAGAAGTTAGTCTCTTTTGTTAGAGAAAGCGTTATATTTGGTAGGAAATACAACATATGCAGTATAGGGATATATTAAGTTTGTAACGATTTATATGACACCCAGAAAGGCTTCGGATAGACTCATCAAGTGCTTTTGTCCGACTGATGTCTATTCATGCATTCTTCTGTTCAATAAGCAATTTTTGAGATATTTTGACGAAATAACGAAAACACTTATATACGCTTTTTGGATCAGATCTCGCAATGTATTCTAAGAAGTCTTTGCATGAATAACTTCACAAAACTAAGTAGTGCAGGTTATTTAATGATACACCTGGGCGCGCTATAATGTTTTTGCTTGTTTTTATAGACAAACATTTTTTCTTTCTATAGGAAAATACTTTCCATATGTACGTAAAAACATTTCAATCCAATCGCTTGTCAATAGCACTCGTTCTTGTGCTCAAACATTCCAAAATACCTGAATATTAAAAGTAGCTCAGCAAATATGAAACGTGGACAGATAGACGGATAGACAACTACTTCGGAATCGATTGCTAAAAATAAAAAAATGGATTTAGCTCAAGTCCGCCGCTAATTTTACATACACAGTGCACAGGTGTTTTTTAAGCAAACTACAGCTCACAGATTATTGATACAAATTCCCAGATAATAGGAAAAAATGATCGTGTTCAGCATATAGGCGTGTACGCAATAATCGAAAAACTAAATCAATTACCCGAAAAATTTGCAAATTTCGATATATTTAATTAATATATTTAAGATTATTGGTATTGAGTTGTGGGTTGCAGTAAGTGAACGTAAATACGTAACTGAATAATTAATAACGCAATCATTTATGGATATACGGTTTTGTTTGAAAAATTGCGTATCCAAGATTCGCTTCAAGGTGTTTATATTTTTTTTCAATTTGTTTGTTTCCTTTTTTGTTTTGCTTATTAAAAGCATTAGGTCCTTGAGTAGCCTTAAAATACACGATTTTATGTCAAAGTCAAAGCTTCATTTGGACTAAATGCGTAAATGTATTTATAAAATAAGACAAAAAAACAAAAAAGAAAAGTAACTAAAACATCGCTATATTGTTAATAACAAAAAGCAAAAAAAAAAAAAAAAAAAAAACATATGACAGGAGACCATTAGCTGGTTGAGAATCAAGTTGCAAGTAAAGGAAAACTTAGTTAACACATGGACGGAAAGATGGAAAATGAAGAGAGCGAATACGGCTAGAAAATTAATAGAGTTGTGTGCAATTTAAATGAGTGTGAGTGTGTTGCGAATGAGAATGAGAGTGTGCGTATGCGTGTGTATGCGCGTGTGCATATAAAAATCTATGTGAATAAAGAAAGGACGATATTTAGCGTGAGTAATTCTTCAAAAGCTTTTTGTCTTAAATGTTGGCGCCTTTTTGTTTGTTATGCAAACCTTTATACATTAATTTCCTTTTCAGTTGATTAGAACGAAACGCGGATATTAACTATGGTTTTTTTTTTTTTTTTTTATTTTGATTTTGGATTTTGAGAAAGAGAAACTAATTGAAATTCTCTTTTAAGGCAACAAACACATCAACATTCAACGCTCTGCTTGTTGAGTTTTATATAGAGAACAACAATTGGTTCTGGGAGCAAGAATTTATAATAAAATGACTGATCATAGATCGAATTGTAATAATATTGAAAATGGTATAACGACGTCAGCTAAACAAAAGCGTCATGAGAAAGATCAAGCAGAAATTACTGAAGTGGGTTTGTCAGACTTGATGTTAGATGAATTGTACACATCATACTCATTAAAACAACGAAGTGGAGGTTTAAAATGGTTTTTTTTCGCCTGTCTTCTATTTGATATATGGTCCCTATGTATACCCTATGAACAGGATATGCAAGCAAGAGGTAAGTATGAGAGAAACATTTTTCACATTAAGAAAAGAATTTTTGGCTCAATATTTTACTTATTTCGATAAAGTCGCTGTTCTGATTATACTCGTTATTACGATATTCTATGTGATCATATTGCATATTGTGAAACGTTTCGGACAATCGGAATCGGAGTCGGGTGGCAGTAGCGTATTGCTTTTGTTGGTGGCAGATTGGTCACCGTTTTTCCTTTGGACCTTTTGCATTTTGCAATTAAGCGTTTATTGTCTTCTGCAAACATCATTATCCGTAAGGTAGATCGAAAGATTCTTTCAAAATATGCTATGATATGGTTAGTCAAGCGTTTCTTACATTTAATTCTTCTTACTTTTGTAGAGACATTTTGGGTTGGGCCATTTTGCTTAATTTTTTAATTTATGTAACGTTACCCGTTGCCCTTTTCTACGGCGGCTGCTTTATGGGTTTTACAACTTTCATAATCTACGCAGTGTTATTACTCACAACGACACGGGACGATCCTATGTATTACGAAATGGTAACGTGGTATTAATTTCTCTTATTTATTACATGTAGTAATTGGTGTTTCTTGTAAATTTGCTTTAGATTATGGCTAATATTGTGCTCGTATTAACTGGTGTTCTAATTGGTTTACTGTATTATGCGATGGGTGAAGCGAAACATAAGCGCGCCTTTTTGGAGGCGAAAAAAAGTCTAGAAGTGAAAATGATTATCGAAGAGCAATCGGCTGAACAAGAGCGTCTATTGCTTTCGGTATTACCCAAACATGTCGCCGTTAAAATGCGACAAGATTTGGGTTCGACTAGCTCGGAGCCGTTTAAGAAGATCTACATGAGTCGCCATGAAAATGTAAGGTAAAGCAATGCAACTCAAAATATGTTTTGATTTGTAGATGAAAATAATTTTATTTACATTTTATTTTATCTTGTTTTTTTTTGTGTTTTAACAAAACAAATAAAGCATATTGTATGCAGATATTGTGGGTTTTACCGCCATCTCGTCAACGTATAGCGCTCAGGATCTAGTGAAAATGTTAAATGAACTTTTTGCTCGTTTCGATAGATTGGCTGAGGTATTTAGATTTGCTTCATTTATTTTGTGTTAATTTGATCCTGTAAAATACATAAACAATTACTTGTTTTTGCTTTTTTCGTTGTTAAATATATATATAAATAGAAATAAATAAATAAATTTTAATTTACGTTAACAGATTTTGATTTTTAATCTTTTTCATTATCACTTTATCTGTTTCACTTGTAATTAAGACATTGACAGCCATTTACCGTTGCTTTCTACTCTTCCTTATTGCGTCTATAAACGTAAATGTTTCTCTCCATAGATGTATAAGCTTATATATATATATATATGCATGCATGCATATGTTTGTTTGTATTTATATATATCTGTTTGTGCATGTAAACTTAAACGTCATTGACAATGGCCATAATTGAACGACACATTTATTAAGCATTTACGGACCAACACACTTGCACATGTACACGATTAATGCTATTAGTCTATTCTTCTTCTTCTTCTTCTTACCATATCTATCTCTTATTCATCCGTACATTCCATGCCGTTTCACGTGGTGCTTTGTTGGTTAGAAGTACCAACAACTACGTATAAAAATTTTAGGTGATTGTTATTATTGCATTAGCGGGGCACCAGACGAGAGAGCAGATCATGCCGTACTCTGTGTGCACATGGGTTTGTCAATGGTAAAGGCCATCAAGTAAGTGGAAAATGTGAACATGTGTATACACACATATATAGGTGTATATATATATATTCTTAGGCAATTATATATATATATATATATATATATATATCTATATATATATATATTTATGTATACATATATATATGTATGTATTCTTAGACAATTAATTACACAGACAGTGGTTTTTCTTTTTTCCTTTATGGTTTACTTATTTTCAACATTATTGTTACTTTACTTTAAGTAATGCACGTATAACTGTACTTTACACTTTAGATATGTACAGCAAAAAACAAATTCACCTGTTGATATGCGGGTCGGAATTCATACGGGGGCGGTTCTTGCCGGTATATTGGGGCAGCGTCAATGGCAATTCGATGTCTATTCGAAGGATGTCGAGTTAGCTAATAAAATGGAATCAAGCGGAAAAGCTGGGTAAGCACAAGGACCCTTCTAAAGGATAGAAAATGAAAAATGAAAATAATGACTGCATTATACATACATACGTACGTACTGCTCATAAGCAAGTATTTTTAGCAGCACTTGGCTAACCTTAAAAAATGTTCAATAATTTATTAAAGGACGACAATCAATTACCTAATATTTGATGGATTGCACAACATAACACATTCATATAGTTATTTCGAAAAAAAGTTACTTTGATGTTAAAAGAAAATTTTCTTATATTTATTTAATGTCATGATAGGATTTCTATCGTTTTCATATCTAAAATATGCACACAAAGCGTACATGTGAATGTGTACGTTTGCTTGCCTACAATTGAACACCATATTGAATATATATAACTAAGGACATCACATGGTATACTTCTCAATTTTTTTTTTTTTTTGGTTTTTGTTTAGACGCGTTCATATTTCGGATAAGACTTTAGCTTTTCTAAGTGGTGAATTCGAAGTTGAACCCGCCTATGGGGAGAAACGTGAAGAAGCCCTACGTATAGCTGGTCTTAAAACTTATTTCATAACAAAAGTTGTAAAACCTGTAAGTAACTGAAGTAGTTAATCTAGAAACGAACATGCATGAAACAAACATTGTGCGTATTAGTTTATGTATACATATGTGTGTATTATCGAAATTTCATTTAAAGTAGATTTATATGATGAAATTGTTTGTTTGCCTTTAGTTTGCTTCTCCGAGTTCAAAAAAAACCCACGAAACCGAAAACTATCCCGATACACTTGACGAAGATTTTTTACCTGAGACCTCTTCAACATCTAATGGCCAACAAAAAGAGCAAATTGAAGAAACCTCCGAAATATCAGATAAACAAACAATGTTCAAGGAACGCCTACAAGAGGAATTAATAGCCAGAGATTTTCACGAGTATAAAATATAGAAAAAACATATTTCATAGAGAATTTTCTTACTATATATGCAAATATTTTAGAAATTTATCAAACGATACGACAATATTTCTGAAATTTAAAACTAAATCGCTCGAAGATACTTATGCAATTTATCGAGAACCGTACTCTTCAGTACCACTGTTAGCTGCACTTTTGGTACAAAGCACTGATATCCTCTACTCCTACTTTATATTGCCAAGGTAAGACCGCTTAGTCCGTAGTACTATCACTGAGAACGAATTTTTATTCTATTTGAAAAGACGTTCGGATAATTATTACCTAAAGTGAAGATTAGTTATCGACTACACTGATACGCCAATCGACCCATCACGAATAGCATGTACCTATGAAGTAGCGAACCGATTTGAAACAGTATACCTGCAAACTTCCAATACAGTGCCAACAATAGCAAAAAAAGTTACGACAAGGAAGACTGGAATCAATAGCCATTTTTTAAATCTCATTCAATTCTATTCAAACGAGACACGGCTGCATTTAAACATTTAATGCAAAATTATTTGATACTCGCTCGTCTAGCCACATCTCCCAGTTTCCTAGATAATCGTGTCAAATAGAGGGCGTACACCAAAGTGAGAGCACCAGACATGAAGGTTTTTGTCTGATGTATCTGCGTCCCTAATTACTTAATACCCATGTGTTTTGGGTAAATATAACCCCCACGAGTATTTTCCGAAGAGCGGCATCGAGCGGTCAGGCAAGAAGCCTTTCGTCCCTTGGGAATAATTTTGCTTGGACAACTTGATCCTCCCAGGTCCAATAGATTTTTATACCTGCAATGCATTAGGATTAATAGCTTTCCGCGCGCCAAATTTTTGCGTACTTTTGTATTCGCATTATCCACGCCTCTCGCTTTGCTATCCAACTTTTCACCCATGGATTTTAATATACAAGGAGCAGACATGAACCCTATTAAAAATATTGAAGAAGTATTTTCCGGTCTGCTCGCTTAAAGTTTTTTCCTTTACATGATTTATAAAAGAAAAGTACTATGAGTTATGAATAGAGAGAGCGAAGAGAGTTGCTGAATATCTTTTCATCGCTTGATTTGTCAGCATCAGCATCATCATATTATTGTTGTCATTCTTACTTGGCGAAACATCCCCTATTGGAATTGGTAGGATTTTTATATATCATTAATGTCATGTGGCTTACCGAATTGGACATCCTGACATCCGTGAACGCATAGTGCATACTGTAATGTTTTTGGGTTGTCGGCATTATGCGACTTTAGCCATAGTCACTCTTGCATTCGGATTGTGCACACGTCAAGGGCTGCCATGGATTTTAAGTATCCAAAGCGAAATATAAACTAAGCACTGTTAGGCACACTACTACTTCTCTGGCCCTATCAATAGCACATAGATCTAAGATCAAGATTAGGAGGGATAGACAAGATCCGTTTCAATGCTTTAAATGTTCACAAGTGTCAAGATGCAAACCTTCGACTCGATGGGCGAGAGGAATGACACTAGCAAATTGACAGAAAATTTCGCACTAACAGAGACATATACATTTTATGACATCTTTGTGTCTTATCAATGGAATGAGCAATTCTCTCAGTCTCTTGCATTTTCTGGTAGAAGTTTATCTAACAAATATTCTCTGTACTAAAACTCATGTTTCTCGTCTTACATGTACTTCATTCAGATCACCGTTGCACTTTGTTAATATTGCTGCCCCATTAGTACCGATCTTTATGCTGGTATTCATATCGATAGCTGAAAGTTTTCCCAGTTATTTACCGGAATTTTTTGTTAGCATCAGTAAACGCTACAATGATTTTACTATGGTACGCGAACTAACCGCCGTCAGCATAGTTTTGATGATTGGTCTCAGTAATATCATCGATATGGTAAGTGAATACCGTTATAATGCATGCACTCTTACCCATTCCCTAATAGCGATAACAACATAACCATCAGTATCTGCTTAAACAAAAACTGGCGTATGCCAGGTCTGTGACTATATCGGAATATAAATGGTGAGGGCTATATCGGGATGAGGGAGACGCGATTCCATTGATTGAAAATAAATGCTCACTTATATATATTTTCTTCGTTGGTTCTCTTATCATATTGTTGTTGTTATTAATTGTGCTTCTTCTTTTTGTAGTTCTTTTTTGTGACTTTCATCAAGTCGGAGCATATTGTCAGTGAAAGTGTCTTCAATCAGACTCAAAGCGAAGAGGACTTTTTGAAAGCCGAACCAATGGTAGATGCCACACCCGAACCTTTAGATAATGTCATGTATCCGTCGTATTTAAGCAATTTTGCTGTTTTAATTCTAATTGCCACCGCCGTAATTGCTCAGTTAACACATGTGACAAAAATCATTTTAATGGTTTTCATAACAGGTAACAGCAATAGCCCAATAACAATACTTTTATATTCCTTTTTATAATTCTTGTTTGAATTTTTGCTATATTTGCTTTCGTAGTCCTACACTGCTACTTCAATATATTTGTCCTAACAGATCTTTATACACTAGAGGATGATTTGACTTTTAATCCGTAAGTGTTTGTAATCCATTTATTCTTAAAATGTTAATTTTTCTTCTTCTCTTCAAAAAAAAAAAAAAAATCAATTTCAGTACTATACCGATCAGTTATAGTGTTTCCGGTATATTATTAGTCGCTGCTTTAGCTTTATCCTTTTTGGCTAGACATGTAAGTTTTTATCGTTTATATATCTGCAGTGAAGGCGGACTTGTAAAATTAAGACTTTGTTTTGGTAATTTCTAGATGGATCATGAAGATCGTGTTATATTCAAGTGGAAAACTGAAGTCATTGAACAGAAAGAAAAAGCTAATGATATGCGTCAGCGTAATGAAGCTCTAGTTTACAACGTTTTACCAGTGCATGTGGCCGAGCATTTTATGAAAAACACGAAACGTTCTCACGATGATTTGTACTCACAAAGCTATGCTGAAGTCGGTGTATTATTCGCTTCGATGCCAAACTTTTCAGGTTGGCTAAAATATGCAAAATCGTCGGAGAATTTAATTTGAATAATATTTGTCTCTAGATTTTTATTCTGAAGAAACCGTTAATAACCAAGGTTTGGAATGTTTACGATTTCTAAACGAGGTCATTTCAGACTTTGACGCGGTACGTTCAAATTTTCTTCAATTTAAATGCCCGTAAGAATAAGAATAGAAATAAAGGGTCTTTCAGTAAGAGTGATACTTTTCGAAATTTGAAAGAGTAAATGACGCGTAATAGTGCTTTATTTGCACATTCTAACGCACGCAATGGCTCCGTTTGTTAATCCCTCTGTCCTACATTAGTCGCATTATGTCTGCGAACGCCTAACGAGTATTCGTCCCCAGATGTTTCGAAACTTGTCACTTGTTACCATAGACCTGGGTTTAATGTAGGTCCAGCGTTTTGAGTCATACGACCGCAGCGGGCTAAATATGGGAACGATGAGGGCGATCCAACTCCCTAATGAACAAACGATGATCATCCACAAACGAGTTACACTTTAGTAAAACTTTTTAATGATTTCCAAACGATGGGGAATCGTGAGTCACTGCATAATAAAACTATATATAAAAATATATACTTTTAACTGGAAATTATCATTTGAAAAAGTATCGCTCCTAATGGAAGACCTTTTACATAGTATGCTCGAAAGAGCCTGAGAATTTAGATTTTTCCAAAAAGTATTCACAACATATTCAATATTTATCTCGTCACTTCAAAGTAGTCCGCTTTTTTTCCTGTTTCTGTTTTAGGAATCATAGAATGCCTCTTTGGACCTTAGCTTGAATTTAATCTGCGATTTCTCTTTATTGCCTATTTATCTTTACGTCATGTATTATTGAAATCAATTGCAGTCTTCTTTAGAATTTGTGAAATGTACAAAAGTCCTTAGAACTCGTATAAACTTCCCTAATGTCAACTCGTTACAATATCTTTAATATTTGTATACATTCTTCAGACCTAACAAAACTCATAAACTATAATAATAATCGCGGGGCAATGTTGGCATCAAAAAGTTCTGCTCACGTAATTATCAACCCTTGTCCCAGATAGGTGGTCTGATCCGAACCATTTTCAATACCGCTTGTGGGCTAAAACCTGTCGGCGTAACGAATTTCATCAAAATATTTCGAAAATTGCGACTTGTGCCTTCATCAGATGGGTTCCCTAGAATCATTGGCAATTGATATGGTGGAACTGGGCTCACCTCAGCCTTGCAAAACAATTCCGCAGGGGAGAGGGCCTATTCTAAGTGCTGGGGTAGCAAGATGAAAGTTTATGTACCATCTAAACCTTCTCCTGTGTGCGAAGCGAGGCTTAGCAAGCAGCTCTAATTATTTAATGTCACCGCATTTGGCGATAACCAAAGGGCTGCACCCAGCACTGAGGCCTCACACATTCGTTAACCTGCTGCGTTCAAAATGTGATTGGACATACCAGCTTCCACCGAAATTTCCACATGGTATGTCAATATGCAATAGTCCCCCCGAAGGATCTTGGCAAGCATCAGTCTGCAGTTCAATCAATACTGTCACCTCTACCCGCCTAAGCAGGGTACTCGTGACTTTGTGAGTGGGCAACTTGACCTCAGGGATTTCGTAGTTCTTAGCATGCTTTAGAATTATTGGCTTGCGCGTGCCATTATGCTCACAATTTCGCACTTGCACTTTTGATTTTCCTTACTTCCGGGGATGCCAAGCCTAGTACTCTCCTCCTTACATTTATTGTATCCAGCATATGCCAGGAAAAGGTGACTACATTGGGTGGGAATGAGAGGACCTTCGTCGCCGGGGAAAGACAGAGAGGCAGACGAACCACTGCGCTTATATATACAATATTTCTGAAATGTAAATAACCTAAAAGAAGTTGAAAGTTTGGATATAATTTATATCTGTATAATCGACAGCCAGTTAAAAGACGACCTTCATAGACACTCTGGCAGAATCACAATCCATAAAGAACGTTTTAGTATTAGTAGGTACTAAAAATTCACTTTTGGGCGAGGGCACCGTTCACGTAGCCTTTCTTCATGGCTTTTCCTTTCATTATGATTTTGGTTACATTTACAGCTGTTGGAACTGCCGCAATTTCAAGACATTATAAAAATTAAAACGATTGGTTCTACTTACATGGCGGCTAGCGGCATTAATGTTAACCGTGATATTAAACCAGAAGATTCTGTCAAGAAAAGATGGTCACATTTGGCTGTACTAGTCGAATTTGCTTTAGAATTAAAAAACGCTTTACAAGGCATCAATGAGCAGTCTTTTAATCATTTTGTACTGAAGATGGGCGTTAACCATGGACCTATTACGGCTGGCGTCATAGGTGCCAGAAAACCACACTACGACATATGGGGAAATACGGTAAATGTGGCCTCCAGAATGGAAAGCACCGGTAAAGCCGGTTGCATACAAGTCACCGAAGAGACTTGCAACATACTTCAAGAATTCGGCTATACATTTTTGCAAAGGGGTCTAGTCAGTGTTAAAGGAAAAGGTCAATTAATGACCTATTACTTACAGGTTAGTATGAAAAATGACCATAATCACTATGCTTATCTGTCATCTACTTAGGGTAAGTCCGGGACAGATGACCGTACTGATGATTTAACAAATGTAAACAATGCTAGCCTGGAAGGTACTACGGTGGAAGTAGAAGTAAATACCAAACAAATTGAGGAGACTGAAGCAGATATGAAAACTCCATTGTTGAACTTAAAAACGAATGGTAGTACCTTCAAGCCTTCTAGTCCAGGTGGTCAAAGTTGTACTGGTGAAGGTGAAAAGGAGGCTTTAATAAATTAAAAATATACATATATATGTACCTTCAGAAATTTATTGGAAAGAAAATATATATATCGCCCGTAACCACTAGCACAAGAGGAAAAACTCGCGACAAAACTCGAACATAACGTGAACATCAACAGCAAACACATAGGCATATACATACATGAAGCGAAAACATATGTGTGTTAGTAATTATTTAGTCAAGTAGAAAATTTTTAAAGCATATACTTACAAACACACGTACATACATATATACATGTATAGGCAGTTTTTAGTCCTAATTGTCTTTATAGACTTTTCCTTTTCTTTTAAATTCAATTTATTTTTACATAATTGTTATTAGATTTTAACCAATTGAAATGAAGCTAAAATCATAACTCTTTCTCCATCTTAAAAAATCTTGTTAATTAGTTTTTAAATACTTTTTATTCTTATCCCGTTTTTATCGTCTTTTAACTACATAAGCATAATAAAATGAAATGAAATAGAAACAATGGAGGATAGAACAAACTTTTACAATCTCTCTAAGTCTTATCTATTCTATAACTCATCATTTCCCCTTTGCAAATACTTAACATAAATCCCAAATTTGCCAAAGATGAAAGAGAATCTAAGCCTCTAAAACCATGTAAGAGGCAAACAATAAAAGATAAGTGAACTCATCTATAATACTAAGCATGGGATCATCTATTCTTGTGTTCGATACTGAGGAAGTGATGGGTGCAAAACTGCAATGTAGGGAAAAAATGTATATATTAACATATTTATTTTAATTTTTAATTTACATATATATAGATCTATTTATTACAAAAACTAAGGAAACAGAAAATTCTCAACACAAACACACTACCAAAACCCACCAAAATCCCATATTCAACTTATAAATAAACATAATAACATTTGCCGACAATGAAAATAATAGTTAAAGGAATACATAAAAAGTGGAAATAAGAAAAGAAATTAAAGCTTAAAATATTTTACATTGCACTCTAAAACTAAACAACTAAAACTATTCTTAAAGAAACTTAAAAGATCGAATTTGTGTGTAAAAGCGCTCAGTTACTTTTGTTCAACGAATTCTTATATTGTACATTATTCACATGTTAATTATATATTAGCAAAATTCATATAACATTAATTTTAACTTTAATATAATTTATACTATAAGGAAGAATTCTCCTTATCAATGAATGTCCTTAAGCGACGATGATAAGAATATTTTTACCGCAAAACAATATACAAACCAAAGACATTAGTGATTCGCCTTTAAAAGAACAGGAATTTGAAGACATCCTTCTCTATTTGGAATATCCCCTATAAAAGCACGCATAATAAATATATTTAATATATTTATTCTGTTTATCGAAATACATTCAAGTGGAGTTAAGTGTCACAGTAACTTTGTTCTCATAACTTTCCCGCGAATTTTCAATGAATATTTGTATTTACAGGTATCCTCCGCTCAACAGGGTTATATGAAACATAATTTAAGCTTACATATAACATAATTCAAACAAATGTGTACCGTGTTGTATCGAAACCGTGTTATAAGACGCCTTGAAGTTTTAGAGTCTAATATATTGTGATATAAATTTTTAAATGAAATTTCTCCAAATGAAGATGTAAATGAAAAAGTAAATTAACTTCAAGGTATATATAAAGGTGTGATATACATATAGGTATAGGTTATTATTATAATGAATTTAGCCAGACAAATAAATTCTAAGACTAAAGTCTTGAAGCACCGGCATCTTAGGCTGTCCGTTCTATTGAAAACTTTACCGCACTGTGAGATTTCAGCCCACAATCATTGAGTTCTTAATACAAACTCTTTGTCTACTCGTCCACTCAATATTATGATCACATAATCAATTTGAATTTTTGAAACTTCTCAACAAATATACGACTTTTCGAAATCGTTCTGTATCGAAACTGTGTTATATAATATTTGCACATTTTGTATCTTGTTGTATCGAAACCGCTCTAAACAACCACCGCATTAAGCGAGGACCACCTAAGCTAATGAAAGGATCACATCTATTACTATTTGATACATTGATGCCAGATGCTAAACATCTGATCGAACCTTGTGACAAATATTGTAATATGCGTTATCAAATTTCGTTTTTTTTTTCTAATTTTTTGTTTAATGACATCAGATAACGTTGACATTAACAAGTTTTTGATTCTTCTTTCAAAAAATTACAACCAAATCTCATGTATGAAAATTGTACTAACCATTGTGAGCTTGATTATTGCCGGTTTAACTTGATCGTAAACATCTGTCAAATTCCAAGGCAAATCTTTTGATTAATTTGGAACGAGAATTATGAAAATCGTTTATCGCAGTATTTAGCATTATTCAATTTTCATATGGGTACTGGAATTTTTGGATTAATGATTCTTCGACACAAGGACATGGTTAGATAAATTTGAAAATCTCTTCATCACGGGCGTAGTTTTTTCACCGCCTTCCGCCTGCAAAAGACAATAATTCGAAATTCGCCTTTCTACAAAACTACTCTTTGACTTATGTATAAATCAAACCTAAGCAAGTGGGCTTTTACAATTTCGATCTCCAATTTATTTTCAAGGAGAAAAATTCACAAAAGCCTTTTTTGATGAGGATCCTGCAACGCTGGATTGTGCATGGAGGAATAAAGAAGCAAAAAAAGAAAAGCCCGTTTTTTCCTTTCCTTAAGCAGTCGGCTCATTAGCTTAATAGGCTCGCCATAGCCTTTTTTTAATCTCTCAAAAGAAAAGAAAAGAAAATTATTTTTATATACTGTGACGCGTATGCGCGCTTACGAACATTTAAACATTTATTTTTCATCCTACTGAACACAAATAAAAAATATAAAATATTTATTATTTTTATCCTCTTTAAAAATGTAAAACATATGTATTCGCATTAATCAATTAAACATTGAATTATAGAGAAAATAGAAAAAGCTCTCGAAGAGAAATCAAGTCTACATTTTAGAAAAATTCATAGACTAACCAAAATGAAAAAACAAAAAAAAGTCAGTAAGCAAATATTCAGATCACGCTTTCTAGAAAGCTGATCTTAATAATATAAATAATAAAAAAAAATATAAAAAATTATAATCACTATAATTGCAGCTTTTTTCTTTTATCATTAAGGTTGATTGAAAATCCAATAGACTACGGTTGCGGAATATCTCGAAACTATGCTTTAGTGAAAGTCCAAGTCATTGCATAGTTATCCTAAATAGGCAGCAGTTAAGTGGAGCTAAGTAAACCTTTTATCGTATGGTCAGAAACGCTCGCAAAATTTGAATTTTAATCTCAGATTTGCTTTTGTCAAATATCTCTCTCTCACTTTAACTGGTCAGTGTATCTTTCTTTGTCAATACTTGCTTCCATATCAACTTGTGCTGGCCTTATTGTGAAGTTCTTGTTTTTATTCCTTTTTCTCTTGTTAAATGAAATACACCCACATTCTAGACAGCTAAGCGGGATGAGTACTTTTACATTATTGAGTCTTAAACGGAACTATTATAAAACACGTGTGTATGTGCGTATAATGCAAGCTTTTTTGCATTAATATTTGCTGCTATTAACTTGCAAAACCAAAAAGGAGATCAAAACACGAATTTATAAGTCGCTTGAATTTTTGACTGAATTTATTTGCAAGTGTAATTAACGATAACATTTCGTTTATTGAAACATCCGATATGTTTGACGGTTGAAAGACGAATGAATAATGATGCATATGCATGCTTCTTTACACAACAACTACAGTATACATATGCATATACGTATAAGCAGGAGAGATACTACGTACAATTAACGTAAACTAGACTATTTGCAAGTAAAGCGAAATGCTCCGATATGTCTCTGCTTTGATCGATGCAAACAGCGAACACGGGCTAGCATAGCAAATTATAGAATAGAACATAGTATACAAAGATAATATAAAAATATTAGTAGCTAATAGTAGTAACGCCAACATTTACCTCCATAAGAGCTTCTTCTTAGATCTTATTATTAAGTTCTTAATTTTTTTACCTTTTTCTATTGTTGAAAGAAATGCATATATACATGCTGATTCGAGAGAGCAAAACAACACGAGTACATTTGCATTATTGAGTCGACATGACTCTGTCAAGCGCGAACACACAATACTCTTTAGAACTATTGTGGGATGCGAGCATCGAAAGGAAACTAAAAACAAAGTGAAAGAAAACAGAAAATCGAAAGTATGGCTTCATCAAATTCCCGCGCGCATTGCAATGAAACGCATAAAACTAATAAATACATGTCTACAAATAAATTTCGATGTGTGTGAATTGTAAATGAGGTCACGAAGCCTTTTATGATTGTTGTCCTAATAAAAGAACGTATATTGTCCAAAAACAAACATCCAAAGTAAACAAATTAAATTATATATAGACTGTGATAAGAACAAGAGTGCGTGAGTTTTTTTGTCTTTCATTTAAAATTTTGATGAATTATTGCAATAGAATTGAAAAAGTAGCAAATTTTTATTTCCCATGTTGTATATACGATCTTTCTATTTGGTGGTGGTTCTTCTTTTTCACGTTTTACACGTATTCCATTTTGCGTCTCGTGTTCGCTTGTTAATACGTTTGTTTTTCTTATGTACGTCCGTGCGTGCATTATCTTAATGTAATATATATTATATGTTACGTGCGATGATTTATTTTGATTAATAGGGATTGCGTACAGTGAACCTTTTTTCTTTGCAAAACACTTAAAATTTCTTTCTCTTTTTCCTTCGGCCACCAAGAGAACCAACCTTATAATCAAACGGTTCTAAGGGCCGTTTTCATTGATAACCCAATTATATCATCGACTCGGCATTTCCTATAGGATTCGCCGTTACCACCATTCAAAACAGCCCGCATTCCCGCATGTTTTGCTTGCTTACTTGTTTCATTGAATCCCATTCCGGGCGCCATCTATAAGACCGTAAAATACACCTAATTCCACTTCGGAAAATACTTAGCAGGCAATTCGAGACTTAAGAAATATATATTTTTGTGACTGCTCAACCAAGAGAAGGAGTCAGGATTAGAACAAAGATGCATTGAACTACAAAAGCTTTATAAATTTTATAGCCATCGACCTGCTTGCAGACCACATTACAATGATAAACTTTACTTCATTTATGATGTTAGAATTCACCTACACATAAACACTTTCCAATGTGAAAAAAGCTTATTTCCAGGTTTTATTCGAAATCTGACATCTCAAGAGGTTTGCTAACCATCATTCCTCCTTCATCTGTTTTCTTCTGGCTAAAGTAGCCGACTAATCTTCTATCTCATTCGAACTCATCTGTTTCGTAACTTCGCAAGTCAAGCTTCACATATGTTTGTACTATGCTCATTGTAACATTGGAGTTTCTAAGGACACTTCCTAATTAAGGTGAGTAGCTAAACAAAGAATATTCATTGTAAGGTTGGAGTTTCTAAGGACACTTCCTAATTAAGTGGATTAGCTGAACAAAGAGTATATCTACGTGTTTTGTAACAATACTGTAAAAGAAATTTAAAATAATAAAAATAAATAATTTATTAACATTGTTTATTTATATTGGTGGTTTGGTCTTATTTGTTTCGCAACCGTGAGATTTGGCATTTGAATATATTCATAAATACCCTCTACCATAAATATCTTCGACATGCAAACTATTTCATATGTTTTTATATTCGTAAATATCCCAGACTATGCAATTGTATACATGTTTATATACATGAATAATAAAAATGTCTCAACTTTCAAATATGTGATAATAGGTTTTGAAACTTTTTCACTTGTTTTTGAAACTGTAGTTTTTTTTTCTTCTTGTTGAGCAAATGTTGAAAATATGTTATCGAGGCTTATAGCAGAATTGGTTCAACTGAATTCTGATTATGGCCGTGGACGTTTAAAAACAGTCTTGAGAATTTCGCATGATTTAAGACAAACAATACAAATTTTATTTATTAAAGTAATGGCAGTTGTATTTATTATTTCTATTTCATATACATGTATATTGAAAAACAAAACTAAATTCATATATACGTGTATATACATTTGTATATTGGAAAACAGAACTAAATGTATGTACTAGTTAGCTCAAACTAAGTTAACAAACCAAGCTAAGCAAACGAAATGTGAAGCTATATCAAAAACAGCAACTTCGCACATGCCCGAGTAATGCGCCAAAAAGTCCAAGATAAGCGTCTGTTACGAACTATCAAGAATTATGTCATGCTACCGCAAAAATGAAAGTAACATAACGTGATTTTCAAGTAGTTTTTTAGATTTAGTCGTTATTTTGAGTCAATAGAGTACACGCACCACGAAAATGACAAATATTTTTTTAAAAATCTCCGTAAAGGAATAATTAACTTAGATATTTCCACAAAATAATATAAATATTCTTTAGTTGTAAAGCCCTCAGAGCAGAGCTGTGAATTTCACGTGTGTTTCTTACTCGTGAATTTTTGGAAATCTCTTTCATTTTGTGTCGACCAAATAAAAAAATTTTGAAACTTATTATTTTCTTTAACGTTTATTCGTTCAGTGCAAAAGAAAGCGGCAAAACAATAATGACGGTCGTAACTAAAGCAAACAAATACGAGTATTAACTTTCGCTTTCGTCCACGGAAATCCTATCTAAGAGGTGCCCTTCCTCTTCTTCTGTTATTTAGCAAAGCAACAATTCGCTGAGATGTGTAAAAAAAAAGATAAAGAGAGGTAAATAGTCGTCCTGCATTTATGTAAATAAGAAAAATTTAATTAGTTTTCAAATAACGATAAAATATATCGATAGCACATCTCGTTCGTTTGTCGTCTTTTATAATTTGTGACAGCAAAATGACATTTGTAATAAACGAAATAAATTCAACGAGAAAATTTTTTGCAAAAAGATAATTTTTAGTGTTTGCGTAAAAATTTTTTTTTTTATAATTATTATTATAACTTATCAAGTAAGGAGAAAAATACAAAAGTAAGTCTAAGCAAAGACGTCGGATATGAGTTCCGTGAAAAACCTAATTGAGTGAATCGATTGATCTTATTATGTTGCAAATGCTGCGAAATGCTGCGTCACAAGAGTTTTCTTAGAAGCAAATATTTCTCTTAATCTCTGGGAATACGGAGAGGCCGTCAAATGATTATTGCGTTAATGTTTATTTAATTTTCGTTGTTCATGTTGTGCTTTATTGTTCTTATCTGTTTCCTATTTCAGTTGAACAAGGAATAACAAAGTATGTCGTTAAAACCGAAAAAAGTAAATTTTAATGAGATTTGGTCTGATTTGCGAAATACTGCAGAGGCTGTTATTAAATTGGATAAAGTGGAGAAAAATGTGTGGAACTCAAGTTTTAGGTGAGTGCATTATATGTGCTGTGTATGTTATCCTAAAAACTAATAATGATTACATTGGTAGCAATGTTTACAATTTATGCGTGGCTCATCCGGAGCCGTTCGCGGACTTGCTTTACGAAGAGACAAAGCAATTTTTGAAACAACATGTAGAAACTATGCTGCACACGCGAGTGAATCCGCCAGGAATAAATTCGAATGATGGGGAACAGCCGGACCTGCTGAAACGTTACTATGATGCTTGGTCTGAATACAGTAAAGGCATTAACTATTTGCACAATCTTTACTCCTACCTCAACCAGCAGCATATCAAAAAACAAAAAATATCTGATGCCGACGTTGTTTACGGTAATTTAACAACCGAAACTTATGAGCAAATGGAAATCGGGGAGCTAGGGCTTGACATTTGGCGTACGAGAATGATTGAATCGTTAAGTTTCGATTTGGTAAAATATATTTTGGAGGGCATTAAAGCGGATCGTATGGGTCATCCAGGACTAGACGAAGAACGCGTTCGAATCATCAGCGGAGTGATGCATAGTTTTGTGGAGGTGCAGGCTTATAATAAGACTGGTTCACTCAAAATCTATCAATGGCTGTTCGAATGCCCTTTACTTTTGGCGAGCGGGGAATATTATGCCACCGAAGCCACAGCTCTTTTACAGCGATGCACTGTCAGTGAATATATGGAAAAAGTCATCAAAATCTTAGATGATGAGAACAGGAGGGCTCAAAAATTTTTACACTCCAGGTAAATGTAAATAATAGAAATAATGAAAACCTCTCAAACATAAGTATTATTTCAATTGCAGTTCGATACCGAAACTTTTGAAACAATGTGAAGAAAAATTTATCAATGAAAGATTAGATTTCTTATATTCGGAATGTAAGCAAATGGTTGCTCAGGAGAATCGGAAAGACCTTCGCAATATGTACATAATACTCAAACCCATACCCGATCATTTGAAAATCATGCTAATACAGACCTTTTTGGACCATATTAAAAACGAAGGTCTCGAAACTATATCTACACTCAAGGGTGAAAGTATTCATATACAATTTGTCGAAGACATGCTTAAAGTTCATAAGAAGTACACCCAGCTGATCGCAGAGGTATTTGAAAGCGATCCGTTGTTTTTGAGTGCTCTGGATAAAGCATGCGCCAGCGTTATTAACAGAAGACCTAGTGACAAACAACCCTGCCGAAGTGCCGAATATGTGGCCAAGTACTGTGATACTCTGCTCAAAAAATCAAAGACCTCCGAATCCGAAATCGATCAAAAGCTCACTAATAATATAACAATTTTCAAATACATCGAAGATAAGGATGTCTATCAAAAATTCTATAGTCGATTATTAGCCAAACGCCTGATCCATGAGCAATCGCAGAGTATGGATGCTGAAGAGGCCATGATCAATCGTTTAAAGGTTAGTTGAAAACCAATATAAAGTGATACCTTAAGCACATCATTGGCAACGACTAAGCAGTTTAACTTGCAATTATTGGGAAGAAGAGGGGATAGGAGCACGAAATAAGATCAGATAGAGAATAATGACAAGCATCTCATTAAATACATTACTTCTTTGCAGTCGCTACGAAGCCATCTTACTTTCTTCAGACAAAAGTTTAGTTTGTATTTGCTAGAATCACTTCCCATTTCAAAGGAACAAAACATATTCAGTCTAAGAGAGTAACTTTATGTATCCAAAAAATAAGTAAGAAACAAGTCAATTAAAGTTTTAAAACATTGAAAGACCGAAGTTGTTGACGATGTGCTATGAGAATATAATTTTATTGCATAAATATTTGGCGGCGTCGGGAAATTTTGCTCAATTACTCTAAGAGTTTCTTTTATTGAATTAAGCAAAACCAATTTCTAAAGTTTAATTTATTTAATTCCAGCAAGCATGTGGTTACGAATTTACAAACAAGTTACATCGCATGTTCACCGATATTTCTTTGTCTGCCGATTTAAATAATAAGTTCAATAATTATTTGAAACAAGAAAATATAGATTTAGGTATGTGCACCATATTAAACACATAACTATGCGGGAAAAAATAAATTTACAAATTTTATTGTAGGCATAAATTTATCCATCAAAGTTTTACAAGCTGGAGCTTGGCCGTTGGGACCCACTCAGACTGTTATAACATTTGCAGTGCCTCAAGAGTTCGAAAAGGCTATTCGTATGGTAACGTTAAGTTGCATCGCTTGTTTGAATTTAAAAATCATAACAAATCTTTATTTCTTAATAGTTTGAGACTTTCTACCATAATTCGTTTAGCGGTCGCAAATTAACATGGTTGCACCATATGTGTCACGGCGAATTGAAATTAGGTTATCTAAAGAAAACCTATATTGTGACAATGCAAACATATCAGATGGCGATGCTGCTGCTCTTCGAACTATCTGATTCTATGACCTGTAAAGATATTCAAACTACTCTGCAATTAAATACAGAGACATTTCAAAAACATATGCAATCACTTTTGGAATCGAAACTTTTAATAGCGGGCAGTGAGAATTTGGAGGATAATACAAAAATCGTATTAAATTTGGATTACTCTAATAAAAGAACTAAATTCAAAATAACGTCAGCTTTGCAGAAAGAAACCCCTCAAGAGGTAAGAGAATGTCAGTGGAGGACGATATTCGTGATGTTTGCAGAAAGGAAGGAAGTAATGGTTAATCTTTAGTCTGCTATTATCACCTACTTAGGCATGAATGCAATCTAGCAAATTTTGATAAAACAAGGGAAAACACTATAGTGGGACAGAGTCTCGCATGCACTACCTTACAGTTACTTACATAATGCTTTTTTAGATCGAAGTATTATGTGGAAAGTGTTCGAAAAATTGGTGCGATTCGAACTATTTTATTTTAAATGACCTCCATCTTTGGTTTAAAACATGATGCATCAAAACACCTTAAAAAAGGCGACCTGTCGATTATATACAAGATAACAAGGCGGGCAGGCAAGCCCAGATGATTCAGAAATGACTCAGCAGTTGATTTAGAATTCTCAAGTCCTTCCGTACATCCACATTCAAACACAAGTTATGTAGGATATACAGAAATGTCTTTAAACACCTTCGTTTCAATCTCTCCAGATAAATCTTAAAAATCACTAACGTCGATTCACTTAGTTGCCCATAATTGACGAAAGAAATTTGAAAACTATTATTTTATTGCCATAATGTATATGCATATGTATATATGTTTTATGCTACCATGTTGCTAGATTTTGTTGTGTTGACACGTGTAAGCTATGTTGCAATAATGGCCTATGTATTTCGATTTTTTTTCATGTGAATATATTAGCGCGAATATTATGTCTTAGTTAAGGAATAGAATTGTTGCGCTTACCTAGTAAGGGACATTTATATAATATTTTGGTATATTTAGGGAAATATTCTCTAATTTTGAAATGTAAAGCAACATCTATAACGTATGAGCGGTTTAGTTTCAATATGACTTCTTTTCTTTTTTATGCACTCCTTTAGGTTGAACACACAATCAACGCCGTAGATGAAGATCGCAAACTTTATTTACAGGCCGCTATCGTCCGTATCATGAAATTGCGTAAGGTCCTTAAACACAATGCATTAATACAAGAGGTGAATGGAAGAGTTTAGTCATTTGAAACGCTTATATATTTAAATTGATTTTTATTGCAGATACTATCACAAACGAATGTCAGCTTTACGCCTAGCATAACAATTATCAAAAAATGCATCGAGTCGTTAATTGATAAACAGTACATAGAACGTACACCGAATTCGGGTGATGAGTACAGTTACGTGGCTTAAAGCGGGAAAATATTTCATACCTAAGAAGAATTTTCTTACAAATACACGAAACACACAAGAGCGTATACCTTAAACTAATAACTCAAGAAATAAGAAACATGCAAACAGCAATAATAGCAACAGCGCCTGTCTCTGCAAATATATATTCATAAAATTGAACTCAAAATTTTCTCATTTGTTATCGTCTTCGTATGTGTCTGCGAAACATATTTTTATTTTTGTCTCTACTTTATGTTTTACTATAAATTTTTCAGTTATAAGTATATAATTTTAATTTAGGTGAATTTGTCAATAGCTATTTCACGATCCCGCAACAAACATACATACATACACTGACACACACATGCGACAAAAATACAATGAATAACACTTCATCATAGTTCAAATCGAAAACAAATAAAGAAAAAAAAAAAAACCTTTTTAAGTATACAAACGTGTTTTTTTTTTATTTATTTTTATTAATACTTCGTTCATTTTGAATCATTTTCAAAATTATTCTTCATTTCAACATTACGTATGTAAGTACGTTTGCAAGTTTATTTAATAATATTCAAATATAAGTGATTATTAAATCTTTCTTTTTTTCTCGAACCTGCATTTTTACTTCTTTTCATTTAATTTATAAAAAACTGGAAAAATTGCACAAAACTTAATGGTTACAATATATTTCTTTATAACAAAATTTTATTTTTTTTTTTTTTTTTTTTTTTTTTTTTTAGTGAATGTGTGACCTTATGTTTTTATGTATTGCATGTGTAATTTGAGTTTCAATTTCTACATCAGTGATTATCAATAATGATTTTAAAAAATATACTCGCAAATATGTACGCGTTAGTATAAATATTTTTTTATTATTATTTTTTTTTTTTACGAATTACGATGGCACTAGTTTAATTAATTATTTATTTTAGAAAACTAATTTCTTAAAAAAAAAAAAAATGAATAAATAAACGTGTTATGCAATTGCTTTTCGAAATAATTAAGAAGAAAAAATAAAATACAGAATACGTTCTTAAATAATTTAATATTTTTATACAATTTTTATTCTTTGCTAATGCTTTGCTAGTAAATTCCTTAATTTTTCTTAAGTGTTTGTAAAATTGAGAAATGAATATTTTCGAAGAGTTGTTGTTGGTGCGCGTGAATATTGTAAAATAGTTTAAACATGTTCGAGTGGTTTATGTGTGTTTGCCTATATTAAACTTGTACTGGGTATTACGTGAAAGTGAAAAAGGACTGTAGTATGATGTTATCGTTATTCGTCGTGCTACTGCTACTAAACATTATTCTAAAGCTTAACGAGAATTTTTTTTTTCTTGGTTTTTTTTTTTTTTTTTGTTTCTAAATTTCGCTTTTCAGTCAGAGACAATATTAATTACGATCGCTTCAAAAGGTTACCATTTTATAAATAAATGCATATTGGATTCTTTACTTATTATCATTCCGTCTCTTACTGAGGTATCTTACAACAGCTTGTGTTTATTTGTTAATAAGTTATCTTAAAATTGAAGTTTTATTATTTATTATTACTTTTTTTTCTTCTTTAAATGTGTTAATATGCTTTTTCTATCATCATCTTCGACTAGTTTGCTTTTCATTTAGTTTTCATTTCATTTTTTTTTTTTTTTCATTGTTCTCTTAAACAATTCAACGTAGATCAAATCTTTAATACCCACCACTTACTTGCTTTCATTCTTCCTTTATGGAAAGTACTTCAATAACCAAAAAAAAATGTTCCATTCCATTGGCAATTTTTCACTTGGATAATATATATGGCACCTGAGTTAGCTTTATGATTATTTAAGCCTCGATTTAAAAGACGTGAACATTTCTCGAATATGTTAAGTGTAGAGCCAATATCTTTTTCACATAAAACTGAACAGTTCGAAAAAAGCTCGATTAGCCTTTCGAAAAGGAATACGAAAAGGAAACATAATACAACACTTCTAATATTATAGACTAACAATCTATGTGGATCCTCTTTGCAATTTTCAAATCTTGAATTTGAGGATTAACTCAGTTAAGTTTTGATCTTAACATGACAGCAGTAAAAAAGTAGAATTTAAGAAGATTTCTAGATGAAATTTTAGTATATACACGAATCCTTTTCTTGTAGTGCAAGAGTATATTAAGTTTGTGCGAATGTACGCAACACCCAAAAGGACTTGGGCTAAACCCATCTTTTATTAAGTCGATCAATTTATCAGTTTAAGTTTGTCTGTCCGTCGGCCAGTCTTGAATTTTTTTTTCTATAGTTCGGAATTTTCGAGATATTTCGATGAAAGTTGGTACACTAATGTATTTTGGTCCATGAACAAACTTTTTTTTTTTTTTTAATATGGTTCCGAACGGACAACTTTTTCGACCACTTCCGATATAACACCTTATTTTGCAAAGTTCATATATGTTAACTGTAGAGCATTTAATCATGGGTCATGCCCCACTATAGTCTTTTTACTTGTTTTTGAAACTAAACTGAAACATTTCTTACGGCGAGAATAGAAAAATTTTGAATGTAGATAAATGTAACATTGCTTTCTTCTTCTTAACGAGAAATTCTTACAAATAAATATTCTACATGCTATATCCACTAACATCGATCGAATAGACGGCCGATCAATGTCAATGTACAAATTTGAATAAAATTCATAAAATGCAAAATTTTTTAAAATTTTGTAAATCGGATGCTGAGACTCTCTTTTATGGAATTTGCAACTAAATCGTGCGGCTATGATTTCAAATCAAATAGTCGTGTAAACTAGATCTTGGGATGACCGACACTTTTTCAAAAAAAGTTTTTACGATTACTTTCCATCGTCGACTTTATGGATAGGTATGATGATGAGCAAAGATTCGAGCTACGCTAAATACGATTTCTTTTTTTTTTTTTTTTTTTTTTTATTATTTATTATAAAAAGTGCACTATGGAAACGATTGATCTTCATGTCAATACGAGAGTTTGTTGTGTGTATCGCTATCAAAGTTTTCTTTATCATTATTAAAAAACGTAAATTTTTCGCTTAGGACATATAATAAATATAGTAAAGGCATAATCATATGTAAATAACAAGTTGTTTTGACCGGTTAATAGACCTTAAATAAGTCCTTGTTGTATAGAATGTCATAACGAAATGAAAGGTTACTTAGCCATTTGAAATGGGAGGACGTTTAAGATATTTGTTACAAAAAAAAAAAAATTTTTTTTTTGTCTTTTTCTTGTTTTTGTTTTATGCTTCTCTAAATAAATAAAATGTCTCGGTTTTTAGTTTCTTCAGAGTACGAATAAATTTAGATTTTTTGTTGTCTATAGGATGTTTCAATAAGGGTTTCTTCTTCTTCGTCTTCTTCTTCTTCTTCTTCTTGTATGTAACTGTATAGCTGAAAAGAAATTTCGCTAAAAGATTCAGTCTTAAAGATTTCTTCCTTTGTGCAAGAAATTTGTGTATATGTATGTATGTAGTTTTTATAGTATTTTTTTATAAGTGCTGTTGGAATCCTTATACCATATGAAATCATGCATCGCGTTTAGTTATAATTGAAGGAGGACGCGTTCTACTGAATAAATTTCAAGTCTATAGAAAAATATTATATTCTATTACTGGTCCAACGAAAAATGTTTCGTACGTTTCCATAAAGTCTTGAAAATGCCTTTTTTCTTCGGTTTTTCATTGCTAGAGTTTTGGGATCGCTTAGAATCTGCCTTTGGCTTTGGTGTATTCACTGAAAATGCAGCACGTGATTATTAATAGCTCTTGAATGTTATTCGCTATACATACCTTTATCTATATCCTGATAATGCGAAGTTGTTACATCTAATGCATGATCTGCACTATAAACGGACTTATTACGTTTTTCTTTGGAGGATTCTAAAATTTTGAAAACATGTTTAGCTTCGGAAAATGCCGTTTTTGTTGTTCGCTACTTACTTTTCTTGGTTATCAGTAAACTGGTAACACGGCGTAATGCTTCTCGCGGAGATTGATTTAAGAAGGATGGTGTTAGGTTAGGAGGTAATGTAAGCGGTTTCCGCGAAGGTCCCGTGCCACACATGGCAGCTGCCCCATCCCATACACGTACTGTATTAATTCGATCGATGTTTTCTGTAGAAGCTGGACGCAAAGAACGCTGTTTTGGATACCATCCCCTTTGCGGTGCTCCCGAAAGTCGTAGCATTTCGTTCGAGGCCAAAGCATGATTTATAGAACGTTGGCGGCACATGGCGCCACCATACGTATTACCACCTGATATTCCCAATATGGAGTTGCCCATATTTATGTTATTTGAAGTGTTTGATCTGGGAGCTGTACGAGAACCGATGGGAGTCATTTCGTTTGGCGTTCGCCTGTACGGCGTCCGCGGTATGTCACAGCCTCTGGCAAATATGGGAGTTTCGGGTAGACTACACGACGTTTGTAAGCGATGCTCTTCTCGCGGCGATTGCTTTAAACTTCTTTTGGTTCCATAAGAGACGTAACGACGAGTACCATAGCCGCCACCACCACTTCCTTCGTACGTGGGGCCATGAGAACTTGTCGGAGTGGTTACACCACTACCATAGCCCATTACTCGAGGCGATTTTCTTCTATAATTGGAATCAATAGACCAAGATTTCATGGTATTAGTAGAATGTGCGCTACGATGCGGAGGCACCGCTGGTGGCAGGTTTTCGAATGTAGTAGGTGGTGGCGGTAATGGTAATTCATCGGACATATGACGATGAACAGGTTTAGCTTTTTCTCGTTCTTTTGTGCTTGGCTGGCGCAGTTCTTCGCGCGACATTGATCGTGTGTGCACCTCTGCTGCTGTAGTCTTTATATAAGGCGTCATCGGTGATTTGATGTCATCATTTTCTGAGGAATCGTCTCCAGGTGAAGGAGGTAAAGGTAAATCATCGTAATCCTAACAAAAAAAAACATTGTCTAGAAACAGCAAACAAACAAGAAAACATTGTCTACAAGCGAACTTACAAAGATATCCGGATTGGAAGAGGGCGGTGAAGGTGGCAATGGACCAAATGCATTCTGGGAGAGCAACATCTCCTTAGCACTTTCAGACTTGTGTACCCCAGGACGAAATTCTAAAGGACGTTTTGATGGAGGTTGATTAATAAGATCAGCCATACGAATTACTGCCATCTCTCCACGCAATAAAGCGCTTATATTGCTTTCGATTTGTTTCAAAGGACCACAGCTGTAACTCATATCACTTAATTGCTCTTCATCTTCTTCCAGTGTAGGAGCTAAATCGGTACGAGGAGTGGTTGTGTTTGAAGAACGCAATTCTGCGTTATTAAGAAAAAAAAAATCATTATTACAATGATGATAGCGTCATATTTAGCCGCCCATTTATACCGTTATAATCATTTCCTGCAGAATTACCGCTAGTCGCACTCTTATACACGTAAAGACTTGAGGCTTCTGCTTGCGTAAGTTTCGGCTGCAAATCAAAGCCTACAGATGACTCTTCTTGAGTTGGACTAATTTTCATATCATTTAGGAGTTCCGTGCTCAATAAATCTTCCAAAGACTTTATGCTACACTTTTTGACAGCTTTGGTTAGTTCTGCAATTGAAAAAAAATCCAACTAAAAATATTCCAACATATTATTTTGTGAGAATTAAAATCTACCTCCAGTTGTTTCCTTATTGGGATATTGCACTGGTGAGTAATCCGTTTTTAAGGAATTTTGATGGTGTTGCGGCTCGATGTTAAGTGATAGTCGATCACGTGGCGAAGTCATTGGCTTCACTCCACCTAAACTGTGGCGATCAGTTGGTTCTTTAATGTCTAGGTTTTTCGTAGTTTCCAAATTTGCTATATGTGGTGAATATAGTGCATGTTCTGACTCGGAATCGGCGTCCGGTTCGCTTTCACTCAAGCCAGGTTTTTCAACAGCATAATCACAGAAAATATCCATGGCTTTGGGCAATTTCTTCGCGGAACCGCGTCTTATAATAAACGTTCCTTTCCCCAACATGCTGGAATGTCTATACACACACGAATTAAGAATTTCTGCATTTTCTTCAAAGTTACGAAATTCCTCCTCAGTTGATTGCGACATTTGCATGGTTATATGAGAATCGTTGCATGTTTTTCTTGAACTCTTCTCAAGCCTTGAGAGACCCTGTTTACCCTTAACTGTTGGTTTCTATGAAAGTGAAAATATGTAAAAGACTTTAGAAATTACTAACTACTCATTTTTAACCTACAATGTACGGTTCTTGTTTAAGTTGCTTGGCCTTCTTTTTGAAATTTTTAAAATGTATTTCCCATGCTATGCCGCTTGGGGTGAGTTGCGTGGACTCAGATGACACCGTTATACCATCGACAGAATCTTCCGAAAGTTCTTCTTCTTCGCTGCTATTATGAAAAGATTTATCCAATGTGTTTTGGGATGAAGATGATTGAGTTTTTCGATTATCTGACGTTGGATCACTGGTTGCGGGGGAACTGGACGAAGAAGACGAGGAAATCGATGTTGAATTAGGATTTAAAATGTGGCAGACTTCTTTATGTTTCTCCACCGAAGCTAAAAGTCTTTTAGGACGATTGCCAGGTCCTCCACTGCCATTGTCTTTAGCTGGAGAGCATCGTCCGGGATAAATAGTAATCGGATGCTCGTTTAGCATTGGCTCTACACATATATATATATATATGTAAATAGCAAATGATAGTATGCACGTAAGTACGTATATGTATATATGTTTATTTCCATTTATGTAGCTTACCTGGCAACTTAGCTACACTACCTCTGAGTACAGCCTTATGCACAGCACTGATATCAATGCCAAGAGCATTCTTCTCACCATTGCAGCTGCCAACGCGTGTTTTATTTTCGCCCACTGACACCATTGCTGTCGTCCGCTGTCCGCAACAGGGCAGACTTGAATAATTCGAGTTATTGCTACTGCTGCTTGCGGCCATCATCGTGCGGGCTTTAGGCTTCAAAAGTAAAAAGTAAAATTATTTAAAAAATTTAATTATTATTTGTTTGCTTCTTTACCAACGTTGTTTGCACTAAATCGCTTGGATTTAAGTGAACATTTATTGTTGTGATTGTACGCAGATCAAGTTTCTTACAATTGCCATTTAATTCGTTAGCATCGGCTTCAAAACTCTCATTGCGCGTCGCCAATGCAATACAATTTGAGCTCGCCTGTGACATCTCTTCAGAATTCCGTTTGCTACACGGTTTAGTTGCGTACGATTTTTTTTTTGTTTTTTTTTTTTTGCAAAAATTTGAGTTTACGATTGCGACTGAAAGATGAGTTGAATTGTCAAAACACTTACTTTTTACGGCTTAAGCTCATATAACCATCATCTTCCGATTGATTCTCTCCGCTGCTTTGCAATTGTGGTCTCGATGATGTATCCTCGAATGCTGAGATAATGTCGTCCAATACTTTAATGGGTTCGGGTATTTCATCAACCGGAAATGTTACCGCATCCAACAATTCCTCCTCCTCGATTTCCCTATGAATACACAAATAGGCACATATAACATACATATGAAAAAGGATGTACATATGACAGCTCATACATATGCAGATACACACGAGGATCTATCTACATGTATGAGAAAAAAAAAAAAACAAAAATTTATCTAATCGACAATATTGCACGTGTACATACATTTGTGGTTTTCGTTTGGAATCCTTAATTGAATCAACAGCTATAAAATGATGAATAGTGGCAGCGGCAATAGCAGCAGTTGTTACTTCCGTTGCTGGGGATGGCAATGAATTTGAATTTTGCTTTTCAACATCGAATGCCAAAGAGTTACAAGGTTGAGTCGATGATGTTGACGACGTTGATGTTGAAGATGTTGATGTTGCCAATAATATTGCTGATGTTGTTGTTGTCGTTTCTGTTTTTCTATCCGTTCCGGATATGCTTGCCATTATATAGGATGGAGACGGAAGACATGTTCGTCTTTATTAAAATTAAAGACAACAACTGACGACCCGTCACTTTCGTGTTTGGTTTATTCAATCTATATACTTGCTTTCCTACATTCAAAATGTTGATTTAGAAATCAGAAAAGCATTTCCTTCATTCTTCAGCATCCGTATGCTCCATGATTAGTTTCTTCGCGTTCTTTTTTTTTTTTTTTTTTTTTTGTTACTTTTGCTCTTTTTTTTTTCTTGTTGTTTTTTTTTACCAAAATATAAAAAAATTTTCAATAGTTGTCATTGTCGTTGTTAATAATGTTGTTGAACACATCTATTCACAGAAAGTGTAACGAGCAGCACCGCATTCAATGTTTGTGTTATGTATTAAAGTTGACAGAGTCTGGCATCGATTTTTCATAATTCTTCTCAAACAAACCGAGCAATCTATTGCGGTATGAATATCTCAGCAGCAACCACAGCATTTATGCCAGCACAAGTATAGACTAGCAACTGTAATGAATTTGGATGGAAAAGATGGAAAAGATGGAAAAGATTCTGCTAATTATGTCGTCATTGTTATTACTATTATTATTAGAGTTTTGAATGTTTTTTTTTTTTTTTTTTTTTTTTACTTGATATTATTTGAAATATTAAACTGCGAACTCAATTCCGTTTATCTTTTTTTATTTTTCTATTTTTTTTGTTTCCTCTTTCTTAAGGATGACACGAAATAAAGTGGATGATGATGTCTTTTCTTCGGAGGCTGTCGCATATAAATATATCTTAAGATAGATTTAGAGTGCGTTTCCCATTTTCCATCTTCATATGATGATGATATACACACACATTTAATGAATTGCACGCATACATTGGCATCCGATTCATCATATATAAAAGATTTATTTTTAGGGAGCTTTCCTTTCATTTTCATACATGTTTTCACTCGTACTTCACAGTTACAGCATTTACTCAACAAGACAATCTTTTCTTTTCAGCTTTTCATTGTTGATATATACAATGATGTGTTACATATATATAAAAATATATATATATATGTAGGTAGATAATTATGTAGCAAGCAAAAGAAAAAAAAAAATTTGCGTGTTTGTGTGTGTGTGTGTGTGTGCCTGTATTAACAGTGACTTTTTTTTTTTCTTTCAGTAATCACTGACTGTAAGTCGTTTGTCTGGTCTCTTTTGTATATCACACGTCGTTCTACGGAGGAGGGTAATTTTTAATTTTTTTTCTTTTTTTTTTTTTATGTTGAATTGAGTTTTTTTTCTTCGTTTTATTCTATTTTTATTATATAATTTAAATTTTCATTTCAATACTTCCAAATAACGGGTATAACGTAAAGTTATTACACGTACATACACCGATAGAACTCTGTCTACTTTTAACGGCGACGAATTAAGTTTTTTTTTCCGTTATTACATTTTCCAACAATCTTCACTTGGATGATGATATTATTAGACTAAAATGTAATTCGGCGAATTGAAATGAATTGAAATGAACTAAAATGCAAAACTATATCTTTATAGTTAAGCAGTCAGAGCTACTCTCAGCTCAATAATTTTTGACAGATACAATGTGTGATGTATTGTACGGCGCAACGCAAACACTAAATACCGTACAATAAGCAAACATTAACTTAACATCTTCTCTTGGTATATGTCAACATATAAATGCGTTTAAATGCACATATATTTCTGCGCATATACATGCTTCTCCGTCGCTAAATTAAACCGATTTCAGCAAAACCGGCGATTCTAAAAGTTCCGGGGATCTGATAAATTACGAATTTACGTTTATTGCATGATTGCCTTGGCGAGAGAAATAGAAGCTGGCCTTTATGCTATACCGTTTATAAATGTTTACTCAAATTGTGTTAGCTTATGCCGCGGTAAATGGTCGAGAATAACTGCTAATGAATGTGTTGAAAGTAAGCGCAAAAAATACAAGAAAAACAATATATATGTATATACCTACACATGAATGTAAATTCCACCCCTTTGTTCCTATTTCACATAGTAGGGTGTTAGGTGTATGTACAATAAATCCAAGTATGTGAAAATAATCGCACTAACAACAATAATTTGTAAAATGTTAGTCATAATAAAATCACTCAACACGCCACCACTGCAATCCAGGCAGCCACCCTCCTTTTTTTGTCTTCAATGATGTTTCTTTAACAATTATCCATGAGAAACTGAAGCCACATAATTCTTTGACTCTGACATATAACTTATGATAATACGACGTTTCATTCAATATTTTTTTGTTTTTTTTATAAATTTTTTTCATTAATTATTAAGCAAACTTAACGGATTAGGAAATTAATACTTTCAAAGAAAAATAAAAACTAACATACTTCTCCACTGCTTCGAAATACGGAGTATAAACATTATTTTACATATATATACATATATATATATATATATAAACATATAAGTTAAGCGCATGTGCAATAAACAGCTCAAAAACTCTGAACTCATATGCACACAAACGTACATACACTTTTCGAATGTATTATCTAATAAAAAAAAAAAAAAAAGAAAAAACAAAGAAATTGTATTCAATTTGAACCGAATCTTTTGATTTTTTTAATTAATTAATAAATAATAAAAAAAAAAAAAAATATCCAGTAAAGGCGAATCAAAATGCACCTGAGAACCCGTTTACGCGAATTGGAACAGTAAAAAACTTGAAGAAAAACTGATTGGACTCTCCTGCCAATTTTCCAATTTAAAATTTCTATCTCATGATATAAAAAAGTCTAAGAAAATGCTGTAGAGTTGTATTCCTTTCTGAACTTTTGAGTAGCGTAAAAAACAATCACTATAGAGCGAATAGTCTTTTCATACTCAGGTGTACAAATAGAAGGACACATCATTCTATAACATCGCCATATGGCGCACCGTAACATATCCGAAAAGTATATATAATAAAGTAACATCAAGTCGTTGATGAACAATTATTTGCACTTTTCAGAATTTTGCTGATTTTAGGCAAAATTCTCAATCGATTGAAGTGATTTTTGGAATGAGTAATGAATGACGGGGAGAAAAGGTGGGAGGCCAAACGCACACAAATTTCCTGTTCCAAATATCTCAATGCTTTGCAAATGCATGCTTAAACTGAAAACAATGAAAATGAAAACAAATAAATCGTATTTTATGCAATCTAGTAATAACAATGTGCACATTAGTGTGTGTGTATAAATAGAAATGTAGTGCGAATTGCTTAAAACCTTCATACGTCAGTTGCACAAATAACTAATTGTTGTTTGCAATAAATACTTTTCGCTCAGATCATAGTAGAGAGAATAGAAAATGTATCTCGACTTCTAATATAGGAATATACATACACATGGTAGAAAAGTAAAAAGTATACAAGGATTTCTAAGATTGATTGACTTTTTTGAATTTAACGGATTCGAAGACAAAAAATTGTTATTCTTTGAGAAGATAACCAGAGTCTCGGACACATGAGTATTCCAGAGATTTGAAGTAATCCTAGACATAATATGTAATTCAATCGATTTCTATTCATATCAATCGTAAATGTTTGTTTTGTCATCTTAACTTGGCATTTAAAATTTAGATGTAACGATGTTTGTACTATAGTACAAATGATGTTCAAATATACTTCGAATATTTTGCTATAAAATTGTGCCCTTTTGTTTGACTATTTCATAGAAAATTTACGTAATTTTACAACCTTGCATCACTCTGCTTTTTTATAAGAGTGGGTTAAAGAGAAACATTTCAAAGGTAAACAAATTGAAATGAAATGGAAATGCTTATACACAAAAAAATAACTGGCAAATACATTACATACATCGAAAAGCATAAGAACATTGGAACATTTCGCTATCAACATTTCCATAACAGAATTATTAGAAAGTGCATTTTAAAGCATCTGGCATAAGCAAACACTACGAAAGAGAGGAAAGCAAGAGAGCGGAAAAAAAGTGAAATGAGCATATTTATCGATTTTTGCGCAACGTGTTTGAGTAAGACTACGCACCGAAACATAAATTCGCGAAAGTAGAATGTATTGAATTGAACTTGTGTATGGGTGTATTTGCCGTTAGTATAAACATATCTAAATAAGTGAATATAATTACTTGTATGAGCTTGCGCATGGCTTTGCTTAGTTTTGTTTTGCATTTATGCTTAAAAGAAAAAAAAGAAAAACTGCACAGAGGTCTTTACATTTATTTCAGCTTCACTTTACATTCAATTCCAATTTACTAAATTTCATCAACTCAATCAATTTTTAATTTTGTTTGAGAAATCATTTAGCGCTTGATTTGCCGTTTGTCAATTTGACAGATAAGTTTTGTGAAACGTCACAGTCGCAAAAACGAAGATAGGAAACTGAAATTTGATGAAGAATACGAGATCACCAAATCGGCTTGATTTGCTCACATATTCGGCCATAACTAAGAAGAAACTAAAACAGTCCCGGAAGAAGCCGACAATTGCTTCATCATCACTTTTTTCTTCAGGCCAAAAATGCTTCCAAGCGGTTTGCTAACGCATCTACAATTGTTAAGCAAGAAGACGTCACAAGTGAATCCATGCCGGAAAGAGCCAGGCGTCTTACTGAAATCTACGTTTCGATTAGCGTGTATCAACCACGCTACCATACCTATGTAATTCATAATGTTCGAAATTGGGGTATCACTAAGTTCTATTCAATTCAAATGCTTCTCTGAATGTATTTAAAAATTTGAAAGGTTTCACGAAAAAAATGGAACTTGACGTCTTAGTTGCAAGCTCATTTCTCTTCGAGAATAACATTTTTTTTACACAAGAAACTTATCTATAACAATAATATTGTAGTAATTAGAAAACCAATAATAATAATAATTTTTTGTTAACAAATACATATACAAGAGAATTACGATAATTTAATGAAATATTTTAATCTTCGTTATAAAACAGGGGCTATACGCCAAAAAAGCTAAAAGTACGTACCCAAACGCAGGAAAGTCAAAAATTATTGTGATTATTATAAATTTAGCCAGAGAATATATTCTAAGACTAAAGTCTCAAATCACTAGCATATCTAAGGCTTCCGTCTTTTATTAAAAACTCTACCGCACTTGAGATTTGAACCCACGACCATTGAGAGTTGCTAGTCAAGACTCTTGCCTACTCGGCCACTCAGGCGAGGTCAAAATTTAAAAATTATATTGCTTACGCTCTTTAAGAGTCGCACAGACAAGCGCACAAGTATTTCTACTATCTTTTTTTTCCGTAGAAGTGCGCAAATGCCCACGCACAGTTCGAGTCCCATACATTCTACACAAGTGTCGAGTGCGTAGGCTTACACAAAGCATTGTACAAAAATCAATAATTGCTCTCATGTCAATTTTTTGGCGTTCTCTTTCATACCACGCAGTTTTAGCATGCAAACGTTGCGCTTTACATACGACAACAAACTGCATTTTTTATTGACGGGGCAGTCGAATTGAATGCTCTGAATTAAGATCATCCCTCGCCAATAATATTCATTCATTCTTCTCAGCACTAAAATGAATATTTGGCAGTTTGCCTAACCTTAATGAAATGTTTTGGGAATGAACTTGAAGATAAAACGAGCAATTGTAGCGTTTTCGCCTCAAGATTATAAATAAATTGCCAAACACACACATTCACACAGAAAAAAAAAAATTGAACATTCTATTGCTTATCACAAACAACGCACGTACAAGCCTAAGCCTAAGTCCACAGCGATAGCACACCGACGCGCAAGTTCAGTCAATACATCTCACATGTAGAACATAACGCACAAAAATTGCGTTTTTTTTTTTCATTTTTTTCCTCTCTCTTCCTCTCATCGAGCTTGTTTTTATTTCATACTACATAACATTTTTGTTGCGTGAATGTTGCTAGCGAAATGTTTTTAGCATATGACACTATCTTTATTTGGATTATAATTTTGGTTTTTGTTCCATTCCATTATTTCATTTCGGCAAACCACAAACCAAGTATTCTCTGCAATTTCCGAATGTAAATGCATGCACTCTCTCGAAGACATTGAGAAATCAAATTAATGAGAAGAGATTTACTATTATTATTGCTAACATTAAAACTTAATCAGGCGGTGTTCGTTTTTGGGGCAAATTCATCAAAATATTTAAAAAATTGCGATTTGTACGTTGAACAGAATATAAAGAGACAGACGGACAAATAAGCTTAGATCGATGAAAAAAGCGATTCTTAATCGATCGGTATAATACAACGTGGGTCCATCTCAAATCCTTCTGGGAGTTGCATCCATCTGCCCAGACTTAATTCGTCACAACTGATCAGTTCTCTGTCTTTCTTACGTCACTAGTTCACGTTCTAGATTTCCTACAAAATTTTTCGTTAAGATTCCCGCATCATATTGGACAATCAGCTAAATCGACCGAAAATGTTCTTAGTTTAATTAGCTTTTAGTACCAATAATTACTACATATAAACAACAATGAAATTATATAACAATAATATTAATTAAAATATAAATTGATGTGCCAGTAAGATCATCAAGTTGGGAACAAAATATCAGATATGGACACCATAGCTGGATTGTACGGTTGAGCATAGATACAAATTAAATTATGGATTGTAGAAGGCTCTTACAGTCATTTTAAATCTTCTAGGATTAGCAATCATTTTAATATTGAATGCTAGCGAGTTCCACTGCTTAACAGCACTACCCGACAATAATTCTGAATATGATAAATACTTATAATTAAGCAATACATCGTCCGTTCAGATTTAGGAAACATAAATATGCTAGTGTAGGAGAGCGGATGAGTTGGTAAAAAAAAAGAGCTGAGTTATTGATTGAAAAAAAATTTTTAATAACTTCGTAAAGGGAAAAAGAGACTCAAAACAACCCTTGCCAGAAATAAGTATTTTTGATAGCCGTACGATTTCAAAAAGTGGAAGAATCGAAATAATTTTCAAAAGAAAATTCAATACTAAAGTCAATGGCATACGATTTTTGGAAATATTGACTTAAAAAAACTACAGTTAAACATTTTTTTTTTTAAAAATTAATTAAAGTTGGAATTTGAAATTAATGAATCAAGAAAAACGCGATTAACCAGTTACGAAGATATATCACGATCCATCCATTCGTCATTATCAAAATGAATTTCTAATTGCAATAGTAGGCAGAAGCAGTCCTGCCTAAGTACTCAGTGTAGTGAAAATAACAACGGATATATATATATATATATATATATATTTCTTTTAATAATATATCTTTTATTGCATTAACTTTTTTTATAATAATATTATTTTTTCTCTCTTCTCCCAAAGTAAATTATTATTATTCATTATTTCATTATATTATATTATATAATACAATAATAAACAAACCTAGCGAATTAAGGTTAGTTTAGCTTCACACACTTTATATACGCGTGCAATGTACTGAATTGTAATTATGTATTTGTATATATACGTATGCCTTTAATTTAAATCTTTTTTTTTTTTTTTTTAATAGTAGTTAGAGTACATGTATAGTTATTTTGATGATATAAGTATTTTACGTCATATATTTACATACCACTGAATGCTAAATGATTAAGGTATATAAAGCTAAATGTTTATGGATGTAAGTGCTAGGTTATATCCGCTAAATGTATTCGTAAGGATTAAGTAATTTTTACTTTTATATTAATAAATAAAAATTTTTCTCTATTTTTTTTTTTCGCTTTTACTAATAAATATGTTTTTTATAATTATATTAATTAAGGAAATTAGTTCTAAGAGTAAACTGGGGGGCAGGTTATTAAAGTGCATTTTTATCTCTTACATAATGGGAATTAAACAGACATTTTTCAGCTGTTTACAACAGAATTATATCAAGATAATAATTTTTTAGTGCAAAAATGGATATATATATATATATACATATATACATATATATATATATATATATAAAATTTATTATAAAATATATCTGTGTATATATAAATATATATATATATATGTATGTATTCCAAAATATATATATATATATATATGTATATACTACAAATAAGTATGTATATACATATATATATATATATATAAATATATTTCAAGATGGTTGAGAACTGTTAAAAATTAAGCAATAAATAATAGCAATAATAATAATAATAATAAACGGATTTAAAACTACACATATAATTAAACATATAATGATTAAATCACACAAAACAAAATAAATAAAATTAAAAACGATTTAACAACTTTTTCCTAGTTAATATATGTCTTCTAATCACTTTATTTATTAACTTTTTTTTTTTTTTTTAATTAACAAAAATCGAAAAGAAAAAGTCGGAAACAATTCGAAAATATTTTTTAAAATATTCTGTTATTATTGAATTTGAGGTTTTCAGTATAAATTAACGTATGTAAAAATTTATTATTATTATTGTTTGTCCTTAAATTTCCAATAAATTTGCACATTTTGCTTAATAGTATTTTGTTCATTGTTAGCAGAAAAATTCTTAAACATTCTTCTTATATACCAGGTGTTTTAGTTAATAATGTGAATTTAATTTTGAATACATACATGTATGTACTAACAAGTAATATGATGCCATCACAGTTTTTTTCTACATTTAAAAATGTTGATCTTCAAAACACTATTATTATGAACAGAATGCTACTAAACTAGATGTTGTTTAAGAAAATTGTGATTTTGCACAAAAAAATCAAGTATAAATGAAAGTTTTATAAAGTTTCTAAAGGACATTTTATACTGTCTGTCGAGATCACAAACAAACGATCTATAATTATATAACGAACAAAATAAATATGGAAGAATAAAATTCTTTTCTTCACTTATTAGCTTTCGGCCTCTTCAGATTATTACATGTTTGGATCACATACAGTTTTTGTTGCAAAGAAGACAATTGCAAGAGAGTTGAACAATGCCGAGACGTATAGAGCTAATATTAAATATGTGGATAGTTATTTTGAAAATAATAAAAAAAAAAAAGAAAACGTTTTCACGTTTCCCTTGAAATTGTCTTTTCTTTGCTCATAAAACTCACATTATTAACCGGGACACCTGTGCATGCTCATAAAAGGTATAGTTAGTTATTGTTGCTTATGGTTTTTATATAGGTCGAGATCTATGTTTGTAGATTAAAGAAAGATAGATAGATGCCTTTTCTATTAAAGCTTTCATTTCAAATTAGTTGAATGGTTTTTTTTTCTGTTTTTCTTGTTTCTTTGCTTTTAGTGTTTGCGTTGTGTTTATCAGATTGTTTATACAATAATATTAAATGAATATTTTTTACATCTTACAATTGGATTGAATGCTTTGGAGGATGGGATATTTGCTTGTTTTCTTTTTCTTGATTTTATCAATACTTCAATGAATAAATATTACCATTCGCTATGTCATTTCAATTACTTTTTGATGAATTTTATCTCCCAACATTTATTAACTTGTAATTATATTCAAAGACTTCTTCTGGTTAAAACCATATTACATGTGAAGGTGTATGTTTTGTAAAATAGGCGATTTCTTTCTGTTTCCTGCTTTTATGCAACAGTTCCAACCGTACATTAATTTCTTTTGATTCTAAATATTAAATGTGTAATGAAGAGCTATAGGATTAAGATTACATGTGTGTATGAGTGTAAATATGTCTATATAAATACGTTAAGGTTTCTCTTACTAAAATACTTTCTTTTTTTTTTTTTTTTTTTGTTATTGTTGCTGTTGTTAAGTATTTACGTCACCGGATATCTTTTCCTTTCGTCTTATAAATAGATTTTGGTTTTAACATGAACACGTAGACTTCAAGGCTTCTTAATGTAATTTTATCATGGAGTTATGCGTAGTGTTGTATATCGAAAACGTCTCCCCCGAGCATTTTCAATGTCACCACATTATATGTGTGCTTTTTTCTTGTTTTGTGTTTTTACTTTAAGAAAACCTTAAGGTTTTCTAAACGATACTACTACTCATCGACTAAAGAATTAGGGGGAGATGGGGAAAAATTGGATCAGGATTTATTTAGTTGTTCATTTTCAGGTCGTCGATCTGTGCCCATTTTTAAAAGATTTATAAATTCCGTTTCCAATATTTGGCGAGCCTTAAAAAAAGAAAACAAAACGAATTTATGCATATAAACAAAACGTGGAGTAAAACTACATTCGCCTTCAAGCGAATTCTTAGCGTTCAGCATGAGGTTATTGATGTCCATTATTAGTGCGTCGATAGGCCGACCTTCAACACTTTTTTCTGTTTGCTATCAGTTTTTTAGATAATGATTAGCGTAAGTTCAATTAAGTATACATCTGTCAATTTCCAACTTTTGTAATGACAATAGATTATGCTTAACCCTCCTCGACTTATTTCTTGCAGGCAGAAAGACAATCGTAATATCCCGCTAATAATACATATTATTAGTGGGATTAATAGACGAACTTTGACTATTTTGATTCAATTTTCTATTTACTGCCTAATTGAAAAAATAATAGATAGACTAAATAAATTGTTTATTATTTGCTTGCCTGTATATTTTGCGTGGGTATCTGTAAAGCCAAAGCCATCGCATTGTGATCAAAACTTTCATCTAGAGCTATTAATGCGCCATGTACTCCAGACTCCAACAAATTATTAGCGTATTCCTTAAACACAATAAAGATAATGTTAATAAGTAACAAAATGTAAACGCATATAACGTATTAATGATTACCTTCACACCAATGGCAATAGCCCAGTGGATGACTTTTTCATTGCTCCACACTAAAACATCGCTCATGGTATGTTCAGACATTTTTCGTCGTCGCTCCAGCTCATTGCGATCGTAGTTGAGACGCTTTAGGCAAGAGATGCCATACTGAAGACTGGTGCGATGAAAACTATCCACCATTTTCAATTGGCCTCTCAAATCCTTCTTAGTGAGGTGATCAAGCATCCGAGCATCTACTAAGCATTCCATGAAAGTTGTGCGATATTGTGCTAAACCTAAAGTAGATAGCCAGTAATTGCCAATCCACTCATGGTTCATATCACCTATCCGAACAAGAAAACCAAATTAATAGGGAATATAAGAAAGCGCCAGTTCAAAAAATCACGCAAGATGATCCATCACTAACCAAATGCTAACGTTGTACGTGAGGTTTGGGGTGCCGAGGGTGATGTTAATGAAACCATTTCCTGTATGGCAAGACGTAATTTCAATCTGTGCAAAGGATTACTAATGCCTACAGCGGAGATTGAATTCAATATTTTTATTTAAATGTATTGTTGTGTTACGTTCAAAGACATACCAATTTCCCGTTGTATTTCAGTATCGCTAAGCGCACTCATGATGGCACCACTTTTAACATTAGCTCTACAAGCGGCAACGTACCAGGCCGGCATGCCTACCCATAATTCTAGCCAAGCTACTATTGTGGGACCGTTCCATAACGCGAACGGTGTTCCTGCTTTCATGGCTTCGCCCAATAAATCATTGCGATAATCGTGATCTCTACAATTCCATTTTTGCTGTGTAAAACAATAATCACATTAATAAAAATGCTTACTTTTTCTGCCTGCCATAGTCCATAAACAATGCTTTGGATCGCGGCACTACACCAGCTCCTTCATAGGTGGACTCTGTTTCACTCAATCCAATTGAAAGGTTACCAATGGACATCATGCTAGGAGATCCATCAGGCAGTGTATCCTTTACCCCTTTAACTTTCTCTTTTTTGCTGAAAAATCTACCTAAACTGGATTTAATACCTTTCTTCTTTTGAACAACCGAAACAACGTCACGTCCCACCGCGTTTGTAGGTGTTTGCAGCATAGACATAGAACCCATGGTATTAAAATGACGCGTTAAGGACTCTTGACTACCATAACGTGAACTTAATGGGGACAGACCGTAGCCCGTATGTGGTATAGTCATGTGTCCAGCATTATTGGGCATTTGTTGATTAGGTGAAAGACCCATTGAGCGTCTACGCAGCTCTTCTTGACTATGAGCTAAAGCTTGAGCCACACGTTCTAACCGCATCGAACGTGCAGTGAGGGGTGATGCGGCGCCTCCTGAACTGGAATCACCAGTCGTAGAAGCCATTCCATGCAAATCGTCTCGCGATACATCATTCGAGAGAACAGGCAAATTAAGCTAAAATCGATACTTAAGGTTCTGGTAGACATTTCTGACGATAAAAAAATTTTACCGTATGATATTTTTGCATAAAATCTCGGTTTGGACTATTTGGTGTACTGCGACCACTCATAGGTGGACTTTGACGATCCATAGAACGACCGCGAGCCAATAAATTCACATGCTCTAAACTACCCACTCGTGATTCTAATTCTTCCGCACGAGCTTCTGTAGATTGCTTTTCTTCCTGTATTAATCTGCAAATTGGAAATCACGTAGAGGAATGGGAGCAAAGGTAAAGGATAAAAGAAAATTAAGAGAAGAAATAGGGTGAAAGCGGTGATATGTGCTCACCTAATTTCATTATTTATGGCATCCAATTGTTCTTGCAACATCATTGCTAAGGTCTGAGCATCTGTATGTCCGGTAGGTGACATCATATCGCTAGCAGCGAATAGGGCGTCAGCATCTTCACATTCAGCTGCTGCCACAGCGGCTGATATTTCATATGCTGCTTGTTGAGCATGGGCCTGTTGCAATTTCTCCCATTCTTGTTCGGCCATAGACCGGGCAAATTTCTCACTCTCCTCTTGCAGACGAGATTTATTGCGCCTTAGTGAATGAGCATCGAAGCTGGCATGAGAAGCACTACGCGAAAAGGCCTGGGCTGTACCATCGACAACGCTGCTGGGCGATAAGCTACGTGTCAAAGCCTCCGTTTGTTGTATGTTGTAGGCAATTTCCTGCTGCAATAGCTGTCGCTTAAAATTCTCGATTTCGAGTCGAGTTTTCGATAACTCTTTCATAATCTCGCTTTTCTCGTTGTGTAGCTCTTCTGCGACTTTACGGGCTTTCTCTAGTTCCTGAGTGAGAGCGTTCTTTTCATCCAGAGCATGCATACGTTCTTTCAAATGAACTTGCAAGCGTTCGTTCGACTCAGAGAGCAATTTGTCGACGGTAGATGATAGTCGCAGATTGTGTTCTTCATTCATTTTAAGTCTTTGATTCAGTCTCACTATTTCGGCATTTTTCTCCTCTAAATTCGCCTCCAACCTTTGTATGCGATCTTCAGCTGAACCGTGACGTTCTTGTGCCTAAATAGCACAAAATATGTAACGAAAGATCATTAATCAATGAAAAAAGGTTAAATTTTTTCAAAAATTTCTACAAAATGTAATCTAATAATGGTTTACAATGTTTCTAAATGTTATTTGATGGCATCTATGTCTACAGTTATGCTGAGTGCTTATTAGAGAAGAAACTAAAATTTTGATTTGTTGGTGCAGAGGTGGGTAATGAGGTGAAATTAAGTAAAGTATTAGATATTTGGCAGTGCGTTTTAGAGGAAGGAACAAATTTAAAATTGATAAAAATATAACATTCATAACCAAGTGGTTGGTTGGTTGTTGGTTTGCAAAGTTTAATTGTTGTTGTTGTTGTTGTATTATTGTTGATAAAGAAGTATAAAATTTCTAGCCGAAAATCAGGAATATTAAAAAAAATTACGTAATTGAATATAATTGAACTTGCTTTCCTCTGTGACGCCTGATGTGAACAGTCCATACCTTGTTTCCTACCTTTGTTAAAGCTTCCATGCGAGCTTTTAGTTGTTCCTCCATATCCGGCTGCATCTTAGCCTGTTGAGCCAATTTTTGTTCAGATAATTCCAATTTTTCTTCAATAGCACTTATTTTCTCCTCGTGTAACTTTAAAAACCGGACATTTATTAAATAAAATTAATGTAACAAGACAATTCCGAAATGAAATACCTTCAACTGAGCCTCCTTGTGTCTAAGCTCTTGCTCTAATTTCTCATTTAAATCATGCAAGGAGGTGGATTCGCGTTGTGCATTTAAGTATCGTTTCTCCAGCGTGGCTATACGTTCTTCTTGGTCTTCCTTTTGTGCTACATTTTCGCGTAAGTCTCTCTGCAATTTCGAGCATTGTTCCTGAGATTTGCAATAATCCTTCTGAACTTTGGATAGATTTTCTTCGAGCTCATTAATTTTGCTATTCAAATCTGAGACCCTACGCTGCCATTGTGACAATTCCGAAGTCTGTAAAAAAGAAACCCCGATTTAGATTGAATCAAGAACATGTTGTTTTGAATAGTATTGGATTTACCTGCTTTTCAATTATGGTCTGAAGCTCATGCGTTTTTGCAATATAATCATTGGCTACTGACGATGAGGAAGAAGATTCATTGCTTTCACCATTAATTACTACTGAACTTTGCTGTAATAAAAAAATTAAAATGACAGTATGAGATTCCTTCAATGTGCTCGACTTTGAGGGAACCTTAGTTATCCGCAATATTAAACAAAGTGTGTTAAGGTGCCGAGTGGAAGTAATTGTTCTAACGTTCTAAAAAACATTTGTGGCCAAATGTAACTTTTATTCTAGAAGCGGTTTATATTCCCGTGAGCTTCTTCTATTTAAGTATATGCACGCAAAGCGTCAACTTGAATTAACGAATTTAGCTAAAATCAAATATTTCGCACTGACCAGACGGAACTTCACGGAATTCTCGCTTGTTTCTCGACGTAAAAAATGAAAAGATAAAATTAGTGCCCCTCCAGCACAAGGTGTACGTTCATGGGTCTCCAATTGTTTTTTTTTAAAAAACATTTTAGGTAACATACCTCATTTATTCCATTTTCGCTATGAACGTCTCGCGTGGCTTGGGTTGCACCAGATTTATATTGCTGCAACTGCAATTTAACAAAAACATATTTAAAAATTAAGAAAAATTCAGTTTGTACGTGTATGTGCGCTTAATTCACCTCCTCTTTGGTTGAATTAAGTTCTTCCTCTAATACATTGTTACGCTCTATAGAAAGTCGGAGACGTTCGCGTACCTTTTCATCTAGGGCTTTGTGATGTTCAAACAGACTTTTCAAAGCTTTCAAAACTTCGACTTCGCTTGATACACCGCTTTGAGCAGCCGCTTGACGTTTTACCACAGTCATGCGTAAGGAACGTTCATGGCGCGATACTAAACATTCCAAATGCTCTAGGAGCAACTAAGATTATAAGATTGTAAAATGAATTTTAAAATTTGTTTTTTCCTTTTTTTTTTTTTTGATAATTACTCTGGTATTATTCCGCTCAGCTTTAAGTTCACCAATCTCTTCATCTCGCTCTAATAACGTTTCACGGGCCTGGGTAAGCTCTTTGGTCAAAGTAGCAAATTCCTAGATAAAAGCAATAGTAATAGTGATTGAATTGGCATCCCATTGATGTTATGTTACAAAACATACTTGTGGCAAATTTGCATTAATTTGGCGTTGCAAACTGTCTCTTTCTTTCTCAATTTCATGTAACTTTTGCTCAGTTTCACTTAGACGTTCTTGAGCCTCTCGTAGACTATCCATTAGCTTGTCACGCTCGTCGAGCATGGAAACCATAAGCTGTTCGAAGTTGGCATCTTCCCCGCTAAATTGTGAGGAGCGTTGAGAGATACTATCCTCCGATATTGTTGGCATCACGTCACACATCATATTCCACATTTTATGTCAAGCTCATGTACTTGAGAAAACTACAAATAAATATCGTGCGCGTACATATTACTGACCATGAAAGCCAAATTCTCAATAGTTTTTGAAGACCGTACAAGAGTAATCAAAACAACAGCCTACAACCATATTATTGTCTACTTGAAAACGATCACATAGCATGGGCGTAGTTAAGGAATTTTAATATCAACGCCAACCTACAATCAAGTGTTTTGTTTTCACTAGCAGCGATGCCACCGTCATCATCAAGAATTTCCACTGCCTCACATATGGAGTAATAAAATAATTCTGTTAATTTTCTTTTTAAAATACTTTCATATTGTTTAACTCCACACTAGATGAAATTTACATTAGGCTCATTGCCAGCCAACTTGTCGCAAAAGTTGACAATTGTACCATGGCACACATGACATATACAAACGTATATACATATACATTTTACGGTAACTAACACAGTTGCCAGCTATTCATGGACAAAATATGACCCGATTTAGCATTAAGGACAACTAACACTAAGATTGCTTCAAAGAATGATTTTCAATAGAAAGTAGATACTAGTAGTTTTCAAAAATTGTCCTTTATCGGTATAATTCTACGCTCAATTAAATTGCAATCATTCATGAATTTTGAAAATCTGAATTGTTAGGAAGCTACACAGAAATAGTTAAATTCGGCAGCCCTGTTTGACATGATTATTGCCATTGAATCAAATGTTACTGTTGAGCTGCTGCAGCTTTCGTCTACGCCAACGGTAAGGCGAGATATTCCGACTATACTTTGCACTTTTCACTTTTTCTCTTTTATTCCACAACTCTACTTACATTTTTTTGTCACCTAACTATCGCGAATGTTTAGAATTTTGCATTAATACATTTTTTTAATGGTTTTTATTAATTTTTTTGGCATAAAATACTTGAAAACTTTTATTAATATTCGCTTAGACTTCCCCGGTCGCCATATTTTACAAAAACTTTTTTTGCACTGTTGATGAATTTGGGATTGTAAAATCGTAGTGTAGCCAGACTAAAACTTTTAGATTGTGAGGCAATAAAAAAGATACTATATTTGGATTAAGTCGATATTTTGATACTCATTATTCAGATTCTATTCATATCAAAATTTTTCGAGCTCATCCGGTTTTAAAATACGTGTTGGCTAGATTAGAAGCAATAAACATCTACATAGAGAACATCGGGTCTGTCAATTTTTTACTACAGTCCGCAAGATGACTAATTTCATATATAAAAGTAATTTTTAAACTTTTACTGTTACGATGCAACTTTTAAATATTAAAATAATTGATAAAAGCATATATATAATATAAGTTCAACAAAATATTTCCATTGCTTTGTGAACCGTAAACTTTGATATTTGTAACTGTAAAGTATAATTTGCATCGCCAAATGTTCAAAATAATTACTTATAAAGCGTCCTAAACAGCAAGAAATCTTTCGTTCCTTCTTCTTTTTTTTAATTACCTGAAAATAAATTGTAATCGCCTTATTCTGTATAAGTTTTATGACCACTCTTCTTTCATTAATTATTCCATAATTTGAAAATCGAAAATAAATCGCTGCTGATGCTCGTTTTTCATTAAAGTTGTTAAAATAATATATAAACAATTAAAATTTGAAACCATGTAATATTTAAAAGATATCTAATTGAAATACATTTAAAAAAAAACCTTCATTTTGTTTGCTTCCTTTGTAATAACAATTGCATTTTTTTATTGACACACAAAACCATATGATTTCCTAATTCCCACAAAATTTGAGCAATTTTCATTTCTAAGTTTCCGTAAAGCAAGCAAGCGTGAATGTGTTTTCTCCCTAATTTTATTATTCTTATAATTTTGGAAAATGTTCTGTATTTTACTCTGAATATTGCACTTCTCTGCTGCGGCAATCGTATCTTTGCCAGGTAGATGATTGCGATGTTCTGGCAGTATTTAACACAAAAAAGTTTGGAAAAATCGAACTTATAGTATTTTTCGCAAATCTTGCTTAGCAAAAAGCCGATAAACTGTAGAATATACAATATAAAAAATGGGGTAAATTTGAATAATATTAAAGATATATAATAAAGTGCTTTCTTTCGATTTATACGTTAAAAAATTGAACTTTTGTGGATTATGAACGAAATTAGGGAGAGACGAGATGTTGCATTACATCCTGCCCTTGCAGAAAGGATATTAAGTGCCATTGTAATAATAATTTGTACATAATATATGTAAATACGGTGTTGTTATTTATGACGTGTGTTTCAATGTGTTTCTTAAGTGATACAGTAGTTGTCCATTGTAATTATTTTTTGATGATGCTTGCAATTATGGAAACTAAAGAACAAAAAAGGCTAACGGTTGGATCTGTCTGCTTCAGATAAAACCAGAAGCAAGCGTTTTACCCAATAATTCAAATTGTTTTATGCTATAGGGAATATTGACATTGGCATGCACTTAGCCTAATGAAATATACTGATGGCAAAACGACATGTTTTGTAGAATGAATTTGTGATATGTTTAATATGTTTAATGTGCCTTTCTTTTCGCCTAGAGAGCAGCCGATTTTTACCTGCCAAGCGCATGTTTTTCATATTGATCCAAAGACAAAACGCACTTGGATTACAGCTAGCATGAAGGCTGTGAATGTGAGTTTCTTCTATGATTCGTCGAGAAATTTATATCGCATAATTAGTGTGGAGGGCACCAAGGCTGTTATAAATTCCACCATTACTCCCAATATGACTTTTACGCAGACTTCCCAGAAATTTGGTCAATGGAGTGATGTGCGAGCAAATACCGTATATGGGTTAGGTTTTGCTTCAGAAGCCGAGTTAACCAAGGTCTTGTATAAATAAATATATATATAGTATATATATATATTCGTGTATTGCTAAATCTGTATTTAATGATTTTTTTTTAAGCAGTTTGTGGAAAAATTTCAAGAGGTTAAAGAAGCCACAAAAAATGCCTTAAAGTCGGCAAATGGTATGCTCATTTTCTTCACGCATTTTCTTTTTTAATGGTTATAAAAGATTAAATTATTATTTGCTATTTGCTTTTAGGGTCTACAGCTGTGACCCCCACTACCTCAGCCAATACGTCGCCAATAAGTTCTCGTACAGCGAATATGCAACAGAATGACAATACTTCAATTGATCCCCATGCCGTAGAACCACCCAATATGACAAATACGCAAAATGCTCAAAATGCTAACCCTGACAGCCCTTCCCATAAACTTCTGCCCGCGGCTGTCGATACGAAAGCAGAACATGCAGTAACTGCGCCATCGCCAGCTCCAGGCATAACTATGACTGCTAGCAGCGGTGGCGGAGGTGGGGGTAGTGTAGTGGGAATACACACTGGCGGTGGTTCCGCACCTACTAGCGAACAACAATTGAAGTATGAAAATGAACGCTTAAAATTGGCTTTAGCTCAAAGGTACACAATTCTAACATTCCAGTGGTACATTTCATTCTTAATTTTTTTTTTGACATTTTCAAGCTGTGCCAATGCCAAAAAATGGGAAATTGAATTGGCTACTCTCAAAAATAATAATCTACGCTTAACTAGTGCTCTGCAGGTAAGAATGAAAACTTTGTTTATTAGAAAAAATTCGGTAAATATTTTGTTTTCGTATGTAGGAATCTACCGCTAATGTTGACGAATGGAAACGACAATTACACACTTATAAGGAAGAGAACATTCGACTTAAGCGTGAATTGGAATTGATGAGATCGAGCGGAGCAGGAAGTTCTGGGGGCACAGGCAATAATACCGACTTAACGGAGGAATTAAATCGGGAATTGGCGAATCTTAAAGCGCGTAATGAATCTTTAGAAATGGAGCTAATGAATCAAGGACTGCAATTGAAAACAGCTAATCTGAATTTAAAAGATACCAATAATCAAAATGTAAGTTAGTAAAACGATTATCCCTATCCTTGATATGTTTATCACGAATAGGTGGCGATAAAATATATATTTACGTCCTGAATAGACTATTCAACAAAGATTGTTGCTTTTTTATTTCTTTTATTTAGATGGCCAAATTAAGTGAACTGATTGTTTTGTCTGCAAAACATATAACGGGATTAGTTGCTGTACAAAAGGACATGGAAAATGTTATACATCCATCAAAAAGTACTTGAGATAAAGAGTTTAGCCACTATAAGAAGGTGAGCGCAATCAAAAATGAAAGCACTATTGACAGGTCGTTTAATATTATGATGTGTTTTGCAGATTTCTGAAGAGGCTTCTTTAAAAAAATACAATTTACAATTTAGTAGTATTTTAGGTCAACCAGGAGATTCAGAAAGCACCCTCTCTAATGTTACTTCTATACAAACGCAACTGCAATCTCTTTACGAAACTTGCGGTGAAACCATCAAGCATTTCGATAGATTTCATCTGCAAACATTGCCAAAAACATCAGCAACAACAGCGATAGGAGCATCAGCAGCAACTTACAGTGTTAGTGATAAACATCCCACAACAACAACAAACTTGACTAGAACTTTGGAAAAACATGTAATTCTAATGGAGAATCAAAGTAAATTTAATATAACAAAAACAACAGTACATCCTACAACGACAATTGTTGCCGCCTCCATTGCATCGCCTACCAAAGCCACAACGTGCGCTGGTAAAACAGCCACAATCTTAGTTTCCAAATCAAAAACCAAAACTGGTTTACCTTTACTACTCAAGAATTCCATCAATAATTAATTTTCAAAACTGAAAGTGAAATCCGAATTAATTGAAGGTGAGAAAGTTTTGTTTTCGTTTTGTCTTCTCTAATCTTTATGCCTGTTGTTCGTTAATAAGTCACCGTAAAAAATGGAATCCTTTTATTTTTATTTTTTGTTATCTGCTGAGAAGTTTTTTTTTTATTCTTATTTTTAAAAGTATTTAAATATTATAAAAAGTATTTTAGTGCAATAGTTTTTCTATTATACTTCCCTGTCTTCAATAATTTACTACCAGTATTGGAAAAGGTATTTTTATTTGTACATTTCCTCTAAAACATTAAAAAAATTTTTGAAATATCTGAAATATTTTTTATAAATGTAGCGCTATTTAATATTATATATGAGCAGAAAAAAATTATATATGTAAAATGTATACAATGGAATATCAAATCAGACATTAGCGAGCCTACACAAAAAAAAGAAAAGAAAAACGAAGAGGAAGTTAAAAATCTAATATTATTTTTGTTACGTACCCATGAATGTTTAGTTAATCTTTAAAGAGATGAAAGAAATGCGTTTCTTTATTTAGAAATATTTATATAATTCGTAGCAGATTTGCATATATATTATATATATATATATATATATATATATATATATATATATATTTTGTTTTTAAATGATTGAAAACTAATAACAGCTAAATATCAAGAAAGCAAAAAGTACCGAAGCGCTAAAACATCATATATATATATATACATATAAAAACATATATATATATATATATATATATATATGTATAAGTGAAGTAATACATAAATGAAGTGGGAAGTTTCAGAACGTTCATCCCATAACGACGACGAATATATATAAAATACTAAACATATACATATATGGATCAAACATATACAATACATAAACATGCATAATATATACATTATTTATTGATTATAATTATAATAAATAAACTGAACTAATAAGCATAGTTTAATATATTTATACAAGTAAAAGACGAAGAGAAATTCGGTGAGAAGAGAAACAGATGAAAGCGAACTCATTCAAATAGAAGTTGCAACTGGACTCTTCTATAGGCGGTATGTGCAAATGCGTGAAATGAGTTTACGCATTAAATATACCGTGACTTGCTTACATATTTGATCAGTGGCAATAGCGGAGTCGATTTAGCTATACCTCTTACGTTTATCTATTTTTATTCTTGTAAAATTAATTTTTTTTAAAACAGGCAAAATCTGTTTCGAGTCTTTGTACAATTCTCAGAGTGAATTTTAAATTGCTATATAATAGTTTTACTTTTATATCATTGGGAATTTATTATTTAGCGAGCACGGAAGCTTATGTTGCTCTTATAGTAAAAACCTTATAGGAGCGACACAAAATGGTTTTTATGTTCTGGCTAAAGATAAGTGGGTATTTGAGATTTTTCTTCTATCTCTTCTTCTATGGCTGACTACAAAAATGTTTATAAGCCTTTCAGATAAACTTGCAGTTTACAAAGAGCAATGTATATGCTGTATGAATTTTAAAGCAATTAACAGTTGAATAGCAACTAATAGCTAATAGACGCCGCTATTAGCGAAAACAGACTGTTTCATTAATATGTTCGCTTAAAGGAGGCTTCGTTGCGTATCAAAACTCATATGATTTAGTTATATTTCAAGTATGTATTGTTACACACACACACCCACACATACAGCAAGTAACACATTTAAAATAAACTGTTAAGTTTTAATTTACATTTAAGCCCACAAATATGAGATGAACTAAATATTTCATGTAATAATGAATCCTCCAAAATCCTTTATCATTCTTTTTGCTCTGAAAAATGAAAACGAATATATAAAATAAACTGTTAGATTCTACATGTTATAGAACATACCCTAATTAAAAATTATTCCGGTTTGGCATTGTGGTAACACAATAAAATATGAAACTCTCTGTTATAAAATAAAGAGTTTTGATGCCAGGCCTAAAACAATCTGCGAAGGAACAACTTTACATAGTTAAAAAATAATAAAACATCATTAATATTAAAGCAAAAAAAAAAAAAAAAAATCACTACATATGATATAGAAAAATTAACCAAAATGAAGATGAACTTTTAAATTATATAATAAAAAGAGAAAGTTATTCATTGATATTTATTTAAATATTTCTTTCCATTTTATATCAAACGAATAGAGATTTAAACAATTCATCTTTAGATTCCTCGGACCAGCTGGTATTGTCGTGTGGCGCCATAAAATTAATCAATTTTTTATGAACTAAGTAACTAAATAGGAAAAATATATATATATTAAATTTGAGTGGACGAATCGAATATGCCTCTCTGTAGCCACTTACCGTATTTTCCTGCCCTTACTGGCCCTGGTGTCGATTTTTTTCTTCATTTTTTGTCGAACTTTTTGTAGTTCTATAAATTGTTTAGTAACTTCACTGAGACTTGCGCTTGTACTGGTTTTATATTCAATTAATTCTCGTAATTGCTGATGATAAAAATCGCTATCATCGTATACGTTCGGATTTAACATAATTTCCGATTTTTCCATAGAATCATTATTTTCATTTTTATGCAAAGATTTATTATGCAGTTGTTGAGATTTTTTTATCAAAGTGGATTTGTTCATCAAGGCGTTATCAATTTTTTTAATTATATCATATTCCTCGGGAAATTTTTTCCTTCCACCTGCTCCAGGATATAGCAACTTCGTGCGATCGTCCCACTTGGCTAAGATCTCATTGCGATATGAACGAAAATTCTCAAAGCGTTCTTGTAGACTTTGATTGATTTGCTTAAGCGGATGTTCACTTTGAACTTCATCTATCGTAAAAGGGTAGGGCCTTTTGTCGCCTGCTCTTGCAACTCTCTTCAGTTCAGAAAATTGATTAGTGAAATAATCCTGTAGGTCAATTAACTGATTCAGAAGCTTCAGCGAAGGATTCAAAATATCTGCGAAATTTTGTTGATTTTTCAAACAATCTTGCATTTCCTCAGGTTTAGGTAACTCATTTGCTTTAGTTAATATCTTTTGCGAATGTATGCGCAGCTCTAGCAGACGTTCCCAAATACGTAGTTGATTTTGTACGCATACACCTTTTTGAATTTCAGTTTCATAGTTTGCTTTATTAAACAGATGGTTATCATCTTTAGTCTCTTCTTCTATGTCGTCTTCGCTTTCCTCTGTGAATTCGCTCATTTCCGTTTCATCATCAACATCCTCACTGGAAGAATTTTCATATTCAATTTTTGACTGATTCGCAGACGTGCTCTCTTCATTCGAGTCAGAAAATGCAGGCACATTTTGTTCGCTTCCTTCGTCACTGTCATCTTCGCTATCGCTTGCTTCCAATTCCTTTCGACTGGTTATTTTTCCTTTATAACGTACACTTTGTTCAGACAATAATATCATGTTTTTTTTCCTAAATTCAGTTGCACGAGCATCTTCTGGTAATTGGTATTCATCATCATCAAATTCTGCCACGAGTGGCTTTGCGATTTCTTCAATTGCTGTGGTCTCTTCATCAGTCTCGTTTCCGTTAGGATGTATGATAAGACCAGCCACTTTCTCAGCCACAGTTTTCTGTTCATTTTTACGTTTCTTGTACATTTTCAATAATAGAAACAAATGTTGTTTTTTCAAGTTCTAATCTTCTTCTTCTCCAAAGGTATCCACAGAATCGACAACGAACAGATGGTAATAGAAAATGCACACTTTGCCTGGAACCTTAACTTTAAAGTCAATGATTAGTTTAGGTTACTTCTTATATTTCTTGATTAATATTGACTTTAGTTGATATTGTTATTTTTCGAATTTTATTTATTTTTCGTTATGTCTTTTGATTTATTTTACAATGTAATCCTTTTTCGTTTGGTTGACTTCACTTTGTTAGTGTGAAATATATTGGCTATAAATGTTGCCACCTTTTTATTTCCACGATAATTTGTGATTTATACGTTGATTTTTTTTAACGCACGTATCTATTTATATATTAATAAATAAGCGAAGTAGCAGCAAATGTGCGCAACATGCAACAACAAAATATATACTTTACCAGATTTACAGCAACAACCGTATGCGGTACTACTTTTACAGCAACAAATTACACACTGTACTGGATTTAGGGCAATAACCGCACATATGGCCCTTGTTCTGAATGTAAACAATAGCACGTGCACCGAAAATATAAACAAAAATTAGAATTTGCAACAACAACCACGGTGGCAAATTTGCAACAATAGAACACCGCCACAAAAATAGTGTTATTTTTTTCATAAGTACAGGAAGGACAATGAGGGCAAGGTTTTGACCATTTTTATCGTGGCGTAATGCTAAAATACATAAAATTATATTGGATTATGGGTGAATCTTTTGTATCCGCCACTGTTATCAAAAAAAAGCTACAAAAGAAAGGAAAATAAAGGAACTCAATTTCCATACTCCATAATGCCGGGTGGGCGTTGCTAATTTTTTTATTTTTTTAGAATGAAGGGTACTGGAGAAGCACAGCGGTGTTATTTTTGTTATCTTGTGGATTTATTTTTTTGACCGATTTGGGTAATTTTTAAAATCTTTTCAAAATTTGTAGGCGATATCTTCAGTTTTGCGAACGAATGGTACGCAATTGTACATACGGGTAGACAGACAAACAGAGGACCATGCTTATATGTTTTCGAATACAGTATTTGTCAATTTTTTGCAATTTTGTACATATACTATACCCTCGCCCAAATTTTTATGCGTTTATTTGTGAGTAATGATCAAAGATCATTTTTCATCGCATTGGAAAATATAGCCGTGGTCAGCATACTTCGTACTGTAGAGATGTCCTTCGGCCAAATAGACCCATTATTAATATCAACCTGAACAAGAACTTCCAGTGTGTCTGCCAACCTTAAAGCCCAAGGCGTCATTTTTGCGACTAGGACAATGATTACAACAGACATTCGCAGATGGACATGTTTAAATATATATATTTCGGGTCTCCGGGTCTTCCTTGTTGGTGTCGCAAAAGTGTTGACAAAATGAATATACCCGATATCTTTCGGTGGCGGTTAAAAAATATAAAATAACGATAGTCTCTAATATTGAAAGTGCGCGGCCAATATTTTCCATTCTTGTGTAGGTATTTTAAGATCCCATAGACTATATATCAAAATTTTTATCGTTATATCTGTTGTAGAATAGGAAAAGATTCGATCCAAATCGAATTTTTTCTTTCTGTTAGAGATCTTCCTTCCTTCCTTCTGTAATTTCTACTACGAGCAATTGTTCCGTTCGTCTGGTCTAAGCAAAGAAGAAAAGATACTCCGTTTTTCCGAATATTTCCTAGAATTTTATTGAATGAATTCAAAAAGCGACATTTCACCATTTCGTGGCTATTTAAATGCGGAATTATTGATTCTTCCAAGTATAATGCACATATCATTTATGTTGTTTACCAGGACATGTGCACAAAACACAAAGCAATCGCATGGAAATTTTATATACCATATACCACATGTAGTAAAGGAGCATATTAAGTTTGTACGGCTGTATGCAAGAAACAGAAAGACTTTTCGTGTACCCCCTCCCCTGTCCGTCTGTCTGTTTTTTGTTCTAGTGTTTCCTACAAGTCGCAAATTTTGAGATATTTTGATGAAGCTTGATACACTTATGTGTTTTGGCCAAAGCACGAATATTATTGAAAATGGTCAAGAACGGGCCACTTGCCATACACCGCCTTATTTTACAAGTCGATACACGGATAACTGTAGGTTTGTGTAGAGTATTTAGTGAAGGGCTGTGCTCCATTATAGTGTTTCATTGAGTTTACCTGGCAACTTTTATGAGTCTAAATGATGGGTGCTCTTCAGTAAAACACCGAGCGATTTCACAATGTCTTCCGTTTTCCCGCGCTCCCGCTTTCTTTCTCTCTGAAATGATAAAATTATTATAATATAGATAGTTCTTTTTTACCGAACTATGTGCGTATTCGGATGTGCATGTTCTTATTCAATAAAGAAATTGTTTGGTTGACATTTTATGATTTCAAGTAAAGGACTAGTAAACAATAATAATAATGTTTTGTATTTTCAATATTATTCATTACGTGCACAACTGGTTATAGTGAATAATAACAGCATGATACGATCGTAAGAGTGTCAAGCGAAGGCTGTCAAGGAAAATAATAAAGCATTTTGAAATAAAATTGTTTTTAGTAAAAACCAATTGTTGCTTTGTATTATGCTTTATTACTTACTATTATTATGACTTGAAAGTTCAAGTTTTTAAGGGAATGAAGGTCGGTCGCATATATAGCGCAAATTAATTGCTGCATTCATTACCATCAATGGGTTATGTGGGAAGTTTTTCTTTCGGTTTTCACGGTCAATAACAAGGAGAATAATTTTAGTTGCATTTCATTAATCGAGAAGAAAACTTTATTTACTCTGTTTTATTGCATTTTACCAATGTGTACCTAAGCCGTTTAAATAGTTTTAAAGCTACGGTAAAATATTTACTTTTCTTTTAGAAAATTTCTGTTAATGATCATCAATCATATATGATGCGAGGCTAGTGCCGCGACTGAACTTTGAATTGAAGCGATTTTCTCCGAAAACAGACAAAGTAATCGTTTCGAAATTTATTTTCTATTGCTCACATGAAATCATTCTGCATCATGCGGGCGTTCGGACATTTTTTTTTTAATTCATTCGCAGATACCTTTCGACAATACTATTCAATCCCGTCATCTGTTGTTGAATATTATTTCGGCTTATCATCGCTCTACTCATAGAATGAAGTTCTACTATTTGCATTATTTCGTTTGCAACATTCGAGAATATATATTAGAAATATACATACCATGATATTTTAAATTGCTTTATTTTCCTATCTGCTCTAAGCAGAGATTTTAAATTTCCTTTAGTTCACAGTAATGAAAATCTGAAGTGAACTACGTGAAAACATTGATTGTGGGACAAGGCTATATTAAGTTTGTGCGGATGTATTCAAAATCGTTTTCTGATTTGATTTGTTGAAGCACACCCCTCTTAGTACGCCGATCTAAGCTTATCCGTCTCTCTGACCCTTTGGCAATCTTGTATTGTTCTGCTTAGTTTACGGCTGGCAATTTTGGAGATAGTTTGACAAAATTTGGTGTACATCGACTTAGTTTGCCCTAAGGACGAACACTATTGAAAACCGTTTTCTGACCGCTTCCCCTCGAACGCTTTATTTTGAAAATGCATTTTATGAATAACTGTATCAAGCCAAGTGTTTTAGGGCGTGTAATGATCAGCTGTAGTCCACTGCAATGTTTTTACTTGTTCGATGATTTATTTGATAAGAAAACTTGTAAAAACTAGAAATACTTTGTCTAAAAACGGTTTCGATTGTTACATCTGCGAAACTAAACCCATGCACAATACAATATCAATAGGAATGACAGTTGTGGTTAATATTCATAGCCCAAATCGCTTTTTCATCAAGGTTTACCTATATAGAAGCGACCAGAAAATGGGTGCATCACACTTTCTCTCGCACTTTTTATTTAAGTATTTAAATGGCGACGCGTAAAACTCATTGATAGGGGTAAGAGTACCTTAATTTATCTCTGCAACACCGTTTAAAATTTAAGCAATTAATTAAAACTTTATTTTGCATACTCTCGCATATGCCTGTAAATCTCTTATAGATTGCTTTACAAAGTATAACTCCTTGAATTGCTTTAATTTATTACATATTGCTATAGGTATTATTATACCCTACATTATAAACGTCCATTAACTTTGTACGAATATATGCGACACACAGACAGAAAGACCTTTTATTATGTAAGCTTGTCTCTCCGTCTGTCCGTCGTGTTTTCTTGGTTTCAACTCAGCGAACGCAATACTTGAAATACGGCGTTGTATTCAAATAAAAAGGGGACTTTTCATTTTTCTCGAAAAATATTTACTTGTTCATCAATACTGATTTTATTCGCCTCAAAGTAATCCACATCTCTGCCAACGTTTTTTTTAATCCTCGATGTTTTTTGGTAAGACCTTGAGCTCTTCCAGCGATGCGATAACCGTGGCAAAGTTCTTTTCTTTCCTTGGTCTTTTTAATTTTGGGAACAAGGTAAAGATATCGATCCCTGTGCATACAATGACGGTGCATGAGTATAGTGTTCCTATACAACGCTTATATTTGAAAGAATTTAAAATAAAATATTTTAAATCCTAGATGATGGGTATACAAAACGCGTTGCAACTTGAATATAAGGAACGTTATGGTTTTCTTAATCAAAGATTTGTTCGTATTCTAAATTTCAGAGATGAACACACAAACACACGAATACGATTCAATAGTGATAATAATTCTACAAATTTGTGAATCGCTCATCTCTTGACTCAGTCCGTAGGAGACGGCGATATTTAGAAGACGTTTGCGGTCTCAGACGTAATGTAAGAATTTTTTAATACATCAGATAACGGAATATCTTTTAAAAAATATTTCTTGCGATCTTAGTTGTAGACATTGAATTTCGCCATCTTCAATACATTGATAAAACCCGACTAGCATTACTTTCTGCTAGATATTAATTTGATGCAATTGTATGATCATAAGATCAATTTTTCATTATAGTGCTTTTTCTATTACGTGTGATTCGTTTAGCCGTTTAAGAAAAATGTGATTAAAGCTTATTATAAAGAAATATAAATGTAGGCACATAAATATAAGGCAAGTAAACGTACACCAATACATTAATTAATTCCAAAGTTTACAAAAAAAAAAAAATAAAAAAAAAAAATTCATACATTTTATATGAAATTATTATTGAAAACATTTCGAATCTGTCCCGAAGTCAAATGTGATAATAATTAAAGACATAATCAAGTAATTAGTGAACACTTGGTGAGCGATACTAATAATTTTGTTGTTATTTCGAGTTAAATTCATTTATAAAAATAGTAAATTAATCAGAAAACTGAGTTATGAGTGCGCTGCTTTAAAAACTTGAATCTATTTGTAAACGTTTTTTTATGCCGATAAAAAAAAAAAAAAAAAAAGGAAATAATATCAATCAAACATGTCCGAAACGGAGGTTAACGGCAAAATCTACGATCATCGTGTTTTACCGCATTGGTCGAATGTAAAGAACGAAACCAATGGTTCTATTCATTATTCCCCTGACATGATATTCAATGCTGGTCATCGGCTATCGATTACAGGTTACAGGTAAGTGTAAACTGTGCTACATACAGTTTATCAATGCTTATGGTTTAATACATTTGCGGATAAACTAATTGCTTGAGACCGTTCTCAGCTGGAATTTTCAGAAAACTCTGATAAATATGTTGAACTAAAATTTACATCGACATCGACTTAAAAGTGTAGAAAAATCGCGTATGATTCTCAACAATATCTAAATAATTAATAAAATATTGAAAGAAAATAATTGCATGTTGCGATGTCAACATGTTATGGTTTATAAATCGTAGCCTTCTAGGAGCGCCGTTGTATGTATAAAGCCCCTGATCTGCCGGCATAGTCAGTATGTGTTAGATTTATTAGGTTTCTAGGAGACAGCGTAAGGAGTACTGAAAGGTGTAGAACAAAATTCCGGTTATGCCGTCTTTAAGCTATACAAAGTTGTATTAGTTCTCACGTTACGACGTTCACAAAGTGGTTTCTTAGAGCTTTGAATAGGTGTTGTTCTCTGCATTTATGGAAAGCTCTACTTTTCCGGCTGAATTCGAAGAATAGTGCCAATAAATCCTTACTAAACTACTAGTGTATCCAAAGCCCAAAAATAATCATGATCCAGAGTAGACGAACCATTAACATTGACAATCTGAAGCTAAATGTCCTTAGTCGCCCAATTTAGGGAGTGTCAACCGGTTGCAATGTATTGTGCTTTGTTCCAACTAAATGAAATCATCATTAGTGAAAGCTACCAATAACACAATTGATGAAGTTAAGACGAAAAAAGGGCGGAATACTCCGAAAGTTATGATATAGTAATATTTTTATATCAAAAAATTCCTCCCACTTAGTAATACCCGCTCAGGAAATTTTTGCCGTTCTACACTAGAGTATACTATCCCCCCGCGCTGTTATCAGAGCACGTTACTCTTTTCGGTTGACATGGGTATCAATGAATGCCTTATTGTTTGAGCGAACGGCGATTCCATTCTTATGATGATACCCAAACAGTAGTTACCTTGTGGATGGCTTGAAAGATCAGTTTCTTTTCGTTTCTGCATAGAAGAGGAAGGAAAAATTGATTATTTGTGGACAATGAATTGGAAAAATTGATAACAGGCGACGAATAAACGAAAATATTACGCGAAAAAGATCGTTGTCGAAGTCGAATGAATTTGTATAGGCGGTGATCGAACTTGGGTAGACATCAACTGAGATAAAGCTTTACATTTTCCCGATTGGAAGGGAATCGTGGGCGGGCAATACGTACCACTCTCTACTGTCAACAGTTAATGCGATTAAAATGCATACATATACATGTGGACGGAAGAATAGGTGTATGTTGTTGAGCAAGGTAACTTTCCTATTCTTCCTGGTAGATTGGCATCTAATAAACGTCGATGAACAGTTCGGGGTGATACAACATTTCCAATTTTATTGGAAATTGCTCTAGACAACTTGAAGAGATCTCGCTTTGTTAAAATTATAATGCAATTATCGGAAGAAGGAAAAGTTTTTTTAACTGGTCCGCGCCTCTAAACACTCTCTTTGGGGTGGCTTACAGCACTTGTGACACACCTAGTGATACGGCAAGAAATTTTTACGAATTTCCTCTGATTTCGAAGCTAATGGCCTAGTCATCCTCTTTTTTGATTAAAATAATGTGCTCGACCTGTCGAATATTACTGTAAACATTAATTAATATTGCATTTTAAAACATTTTACTTTCGAAACTTTAAAGTGTCCTAACTTTTTCACTGTCCGGCTGAAAATCTTACCAAAATAACATAAAAGCTCCCAACTATTTACTACAAGTAGCTCATGTGAGATTCCAGGAATTAATTTTTAACGCAAAAGTATGGAAGCTCTCTCTTACCATTTCAATGGCACAGAACTGAAAAATAGACTTTGCACGTATTTTTCTGTCCACATGTATATATATATATATATATATGTATATATATGTGTATAACACGTTACTCAATAACTTCGTAGGATAACTTGTTAATGTAAAATTGCTGTTACCAAATCCATATGATTTTTAGATAATCTCAACTTTCGAAGGAAAAGCGTTAAAATTTATCGACATTTCGACCATTGGTTTACATATTACAGTTGTTTTAGTGACGCTACTTTTGTAATCGTAAAAGCAACGGAAAAATATGAGATCCGTGTGTTCATAGAACGCTGTTTTTTAACGGGAAAAAATTCCGTTCAAGTAAAGCCATAGCTTGGCAAGTGCCGTTTGGACATCATCGAGATAAATTGTAGGCAAGCGGCTTACTGATTTTACTCGCGACGATACAAATGACGATAATGTTGTCGGCAGTTGTTGATTCAGAAAATATAAAAGGATTCACGAAATCATCTTGGTAGCTCAAAAAGTGAAGTTGAGTGAGACAGCTGACCCTTGAATGATATCAGAAAGCATTATATTTACTATTTTTCGTGAAAACTTGTCCATTAGAAAGCTCGTTTGTTCACTTTTGACGAAGAACAAGAAAGTATTAATAGTTCAGAGCATTGCTTGGAGGTGTTTAGGCGAAATAAAAAGCAGTTTTTCATGCGACAGGCGACAATGGACGAAACGTCGTTTCAGCACTTCAGCGTTAAAATCGGCAGCCATCTGAGTTGATAGAAGCCGACGAAAGTCGTTGAAAGCGACAAAAAATGCAAAAGTCTATAGCAAAGATTACAGCGAACAAATGTCGGGATGAGAATGATATGATAGTCAATAGCGAATATTACGTAACATTTTTACTGCCTTTGAATGATGAGAATGTAAAAAAACTTCCTTGACCCTATGAACTTATTGAGTGACGTGCTGTTTCATGGGATCTTCGTTTTAACAACGTAAAAAGAATAACAAATTGGAACGTTGTACATGGAACGTCGGGCCTGGCTGACATCAATTTATCTACTAAAATTCTTTATATATGTAGTAGTTAAGATAGTAAATATACAAAATATTAATTCTTCTTCCCATATGAAGGTTTATTTTTTGTGAGGAGATTTATATGATAGGCGATTCATAAAATAATATCATGCATGGGAGTTATTTGACAAGTTTAGTCTTTTCTAATCCTTCAATAATGCTAATGAGATGAAAAATTCATGGATTTATTACCTCTTCAAAAGAAATTCAATTATCTTTCCCTTTTCTTCTTTAACTATTTACGCACACATGCAGCATACTGTTCGTACTCTCTCTCATTGGTAATTCGACGGTATTGTATTTGCTTACTAAGCGGCGTTTGAGTAGCCGACATACATCGCGTATTGATATTATGTTAATGCATTTGGCAATTGCCGATTTAACTGTGACACTATTGTTAATGCCGTTGGAAGTTGCTTGGTCCTATACGGTGGAATGGAAATCAACCGATTTTATGTGCCGTCTCATGAGTTTCTTTAGAGTTTTTGGTTTGTATTTATCAAGTTTCGTCTTGGTATGCATATCAGTTGACAGGTAAGTAATGCGAGTATTTTTGTGTGTGTGTGTGTGTGTGTGGATCTCTTTTAATGCAGTTTATTTCAAATTTAATTTTCATAGATATTTTGCTATAATTAAACCATTAAAAATGTCTACTAACCGTGGGCGATTAATGCTTTTGATCGCCTGGTGCACTTCAATTATATGCAGTTTACCTCAGGTGAGTTACTCAAGCAGGCAAACATTTTCATTTTCTTACAAATATTTGTTAATGATTTTGAATTTGCAGGCTTTATTATTTCATTTAGGTGAACATCCTAATGTTAAAAGCTATTACCAGTGCGTTATGTTTGATACCTTAAGTCAATTTCAATCCATTCTCTACAATATGACAACTATGTGTGCCATGTATGCCTGTCCTTTAATCACTTTCATCTATTGCTATGGAGCTATTTATTTGAAAATCTATCGCGAAAGTAAACGTATGAGCAAAGGCGTGGGTGAGTCAATTTTTTAATTCATCTACACACAAATTTATTAACTGATATTAAAAACGAATGAATGAAAGTGATTTGAGTGAAAGTTATTTCATCGATTCATTTACCGCTGCACAAAACGTTGCGCAAATTTCATATACGTTGTTTAGGTAAGCAATCTTCAAGATTCGTTTCTAAGCAAAATGAAACTCTCTTCCTCATTAGAGATAGCCGATAGATAGTAAACGTATGTACATTCAATTTTTTATTCCGTTTGTATCCCACGGATTATTGAGGCCCGTTAATGTTTTGTAAGCAACAGATACGCAGATGGTAGGGCAAAAGCGTGTAGTTTAGTATAGTATCAGATGAAATGTAAAGTTGCGATCTCTTTAATTACTTGATCTATACTTCTTTTAAGCTTTCCAAATTTTATTTCGGGACAGTGCTTTTAGATTTCCGAAGATGCTAAATACTGAAAGATGCGGAACCAATGAAATATAATTTTTGTTTTTAATTACAGAACGTTTTCGCCGTTCAAACGATGATGTGCTATGTCGAGCCAAGAAGCGCACTTTGAAAATGACTATCACTATTGTCATTGTCTTCATAATATGCTGGACGCCTTATTACATAATTTGCATGTTCTATTGGTTCGATTATAATACAGCTTCACGGTTTAGTCCCTTATTGCGCAAAGTATTGTATTTGTTCGCTTGTACCAATTCGTGCATGAATCCCATTGTCTACGGCATGTTCAATATACGAGGACGGGGAGATAACAACGCGGTATATTAAAAAGAGAAAAAAAAATCTTTCCCATTACAATTTTTTTTTAACCTTTTGTTGCCCACTTTTCAAAATTTTTAGAATTCATCAAGTAACCGTAATCCGTCCGTGTATCAACGTGGAGATTCATCAAGTCAGATTCCTACAAGTCCCTTTAATCTGAACCATACTGAGAGCAATAAAATACCACCGACACGTACTTCGACAAACGATAAATTGGTAAACTCATCGCTGGCCAAACTCAATAAGGCAGACACATTACCCATGATCTGCATTAGGTAAGCGTCTTCGTTTGTCATATCGTTCTTATTGAGATGGTGGACTTTTTTTTTTTAATTTCTCGTACATATTTATGTATAAGTATTTTTATATGTATAAAAAAAAAAAAAGAAATGCTGCTAATATAATAATAATTTCAGTTGTGGTGACTCTATTGAACTTACTAATCTACAAAAAAGTTGTAATACCAATTCCAGTGGCAAATGAGTAACGCCAAGGTGCGATGATGATTAAATTATGAAAAAAAATAAATAAAAAAAAAAGTAGGCTTGCTTCCGCGGGCGTATAGCACACAAACACATCCATACACACAAACACATTTATACATACATACACGTACGCTTATCATAAATCAATCAGTGAACAATCATTACGAGACATTCCGACAGTTTGGTCGAATGATTGACAGCGCTAGGGAAGAGAAAGGGGGGAAAAGAATCTTTTTTAAAAATGCTTACATTGACAAATATTGTGTTCGAAAAATAGTAAGTGAAAAATGATGTAGAAATATTTTAAGTAGAAAAAGTGTTTGTACCCATCGTTGTAACTCTTCTGAGATTCCGTTCGTTGTAATCTGAAAAATACGCATTATAAGGGTGGGACTTTTCTGATCTTATCCCTCTTTCCCGTGTAAAAACTCGGAAAAAAACTTTAAAGTTTAATATAACTTTTAATGTCAGAAGTAAATCTCTATGCAAATTCAATAAAATATTTGCTTAGCCAGTCTAAAAGTTCAACGTGAAACTTTCACGATCGCGCAAAATAAAAAAAACTGAAACCTGAAAACGATTTGAGGTGATGAGTATTCGAGATTCGCTTGATAGCGTCTGTAGCTTTATTAAAACGTTCAACTTTATGCCCACACTTAATTTACTATGTAGCTGTAGATGATAATGTCTATAAACGAATGCATGTACGCACATACCAACATGTACAAATTTGTGAAAAAAAATATACATACATATATATAGATATATGTATATATATATATATATACATATGTATATATAAATTTTATTTATTTATAATAAAAACGCAAAAAATAAAATTAAAAATAAATTATATCAAGTAATTTTAATTAATTTACTTTACTTTTAATGCAGCTTTAAATATTAGATTAGCCATTAGTAAGTACATGTTCATATCGTGTTTGTGATGCTGACTCTTTGCCTGCGTGTATGTCATTATACACAATATAAGCAATTGATATGATGTGTATGTATTAGTTTTCCATGTAATTGCGATATAATTTATGTGAATTGCAGCTAAAAAGTTTGGTAACACTTTGCTGGTGTGTGACGGCGCTACATAATCATCGGTTGTCAACTGGTTCACTTAGAAATATGGTAATTATCGTTTCAATAAATTAGTGCGTGTTTAATTAAATTTTATTGTAGCATGTCAAATGGTGTCACAGAAGCCAAAAGACTCCTTTACAATTTTATAAATGTGTGATAAGTGATAAGTTTTACGCATGAATTCCATTCGTTTTATGTGAAGTTGGCGCGTTCGCTAAGTCTTTTAACAAAAAATGTGAAATTTCATCTACATATCCAGTTTAGCTCTGTCCGTTCAACTTATCGTATATGATATAAGAAATCGTATCAACCGATTGCTAGTAACATAGCTCTAATTACAGTCTAGAGGAGCATTTCAGCAGACATGATGCTTAACCCGGTTTAAACAAGCACTACATTCTGTCTGTCCATCATAATACGGTTCCTGGTGTCATAGTGCTTTATCAATAAAGTCAATAAATTTCATTTTTAAATGTTAAAAATATGTATGTATATTAAATTTGTCGTTCCTATATCAAAAATAAGTCTTTCTTTCAATATAATTACAAAAAGAGCAAAAATAGATTTATGCTACAAGTGACATTGTAATTACGCTTAGCCGTGTTCGTTTTCTCCTTTCTTTATTCTTTTATTGCTCTTATTGCCAGTTGGTCCTATAATATCGTTGGCTTGGCTTGTCTTTCCAACATCCCTGTGTCCGTTATTCCTGCATACTCACTGCTCCTACAGTTCATTCGTCCTCGAGCGGTAGATCCTTTATCAATCTATCCGCCGTAACTGCGCTGGCTCCACTTTCATGGCAAACGTGCACAAAGCTATATGCCTTCCCCCTCCCACCACCATCTACAACTCTTCACGACCATTTCAGTGAAAATATTTGTAGGGACATCCTTTAAGCAGTAGTTTCAATAAAGGAAAAGAAGTATCTCGGCTACTTATTTACATTAATCACTGACCTGTTATGTAGGCAGTCGTAAGTAAACGAAGTATCTGATCGATATACAAAATTCACCCTAAGATGAAGAAATCGTTTTAATTAACATTCTCCTCATTTTCTCAGTTACGTCGTAACTGGCAAAATAAATGTCAATCTGAACAATTTGAAACGTCATACCTTAAGCAGGCAACTAAGTTTTATGTGTTCACGTTTTTTTTCTTTTTTTTTACCGTTTCACTATTTAATAACACATTTTTCGCTTGTCTACCTGCAAAAAGTGTCAAAGTGCAATAACCAAACGATTTGAATTCATTTTTACATGTCGTATACAAAAATACTTTTTGTCAATACGCGAGTAAGCATGAAACGGCAAATTTAGCGATATCTTCATTATCACAATCTCTTGGTGGTTTCGTTGATTCGTTCGAATATGTATTTGTTCTTTGCAGAGACGCGATTTATTCCGCCTACACTTATTTATACACGCTAAGTCGCCTATATATACATACATATATATACATACATATATATTTATAAACGCGTGCGTCTCTTTTTATGTATGTATGTATGCATAACATGATTCGCGTCACCATATTTGGTGGACTTTATATCCACTAATAATATATATACTGACAATGTTCGATATTCATCATCTTCGACAGCGTACGTTGCCTTTGCTCATATTTGTGAAAAATCGTGATTTAATTGTTATTTTCGGCCACATTTCGAAATTCAAAATAAATTTTAACCAAAACACTCATGTGTATGTAAATGTAAATAAATTTGAAAACATCAACAGAACAAAATGTTAAAATTTGAGGGAAATAATCGCGAGACATTAAAGCCATTACGTCTAATGAAAAAGAAATTTTCTTTTCCGCCTTAACTTTGTAGCATTCACTTCCTCCTTACACTCTTTGACTCTGCTTTTGAAAAGGCTTCTGTGATTTTTCTATTTTATTTGTTCTGTTTATGGAAATTTTGTTTTTTATCTATAGCTTTAAGCTATGAACAAATTTTCGTTACTGTTATTTAAGTGTAATAAATTGTCTGCCTACAGTCCAAGCAGCGGTCTTCGTATGCATGATTGTAAGCAAGTTCTGTGCTTAATGCACAGAAAAACCGAAACATTAACTACATCGCTAAACTTTACTAAGATTGTTGCTACTACTACTACTACTACTACTACTACTACTACTACTGTGTTGGGTAAAGCAAATGCGATTTTGTCCCACAGTTGATCGATTGTAATAGAATTGGCGATAAAAAGAGTAAAAACCATGAAACTTGACCATAAACATATAATATACGCACATATGCATTTATATGTAAGCGTGTCCGTGCCTCGTTCTTTTTTTGTGTTTTTTTGTTTTTTTTTTGGAATAGAGAGCACCTGAATCGTAATGACATACGCGACAGGCACTGTCATAGAATCTAGTTTTATTATTCTCACATGCATTCGAATTCCTTCGTCATTATGATCTTTGTACGAACGCAGCTTACGTGCACTTACTTATAAATATAATGTATATCTACATATATATATCTATATATATATAAATGTGTTTAAATTAGGGATTCTGTGCGATATAACACTCAAATCTATTTATTGTCAAGTTCGGTTACTATTACTTACTGCCGTAGTTAGTGTTGGTTGGTTGAATAAATGTGAAGTCAACAGCGAAGCTAGTAGCAGTGACTGTTTTTAAGACCGTACACTGTGACTGTGAAAAGGCACGTGGGCGTGAGGAGTGCTCTCAGAGAAATATGCAAACTAAACCAAAACAAAGCACAAACATGCGGACGCACACATGATTTTGCATTGAAAAGTTATCCAAAACAAATGGATCGCGAAGCAGTTGTCGCCCTGAGGGAGCAGCCGTATATATATATATATATATATATATATGTATATATATATATATATGTATATGTATATGTATATGTGAGCATATGAGCTCACAGGAGACAACCACATGTTGCGATCATTGTACAATCGGCTAATATTGAAGCAACAACCAACGAACACAGCATTTGCTGTGTGTTTGCCAAGTCTTAAGCACGTCTATCTATTGCTCGCTTATCGGCCTGTCAACCGAGCTAAATAACCAGCCTTACCAACCATCCAGTCGGTCAGTGAGTTTGTGAGAATTGCTCTGCTAAGGTTTTACTTTTGTTCAGACAATCAGCCGCAGTCACTCAGTAATCATTCGAACGTTGACTAAAGCGGTACATCTTTCTTTTTTATTTTTCGCTTTAGGAAAAAGAATGCTAAACGAACGTGATTAACGTGTCGCGTGCGTGTATTTTTTTTTTTTTTTTTTGTGATGTGCGTGTCCATCTTACAGTGTTTACGTTTAGTGCAACATTTGAAAAATTGAAACCATTTTTAGACGATATTATTAATTGGCTTTCAAGGGCCACTCATGTAGATCACATTTAAAGCTAATGACACTGATTTGTGTGACCACCTAAATGCTTAATAGCACCTAATGGCAATAAGGATAGCATAATAACAAAAGTCTTTTGTATCTGTACTTAATCGACGCAATACATCTAAACTGAAGAAGATAATCATTAAAATTGAATAATAAATAAGGTGCGTGAACGTGCGTTAATTATTTTTTTAATATCTTGAAAGAAAATTATGTTTTATGATTACATGGGTTTGTTGGCAAACTCTTTTTTATAGGATAACACTAATGAAGATAAAGATCTAACAAAAGATTATGTTTTTTTTTTTCATTTTGGCTTTAGCCCATAAGTGTAGGAGACTATGAGCAAAGGTATTTGTTCTCGCTTGCATGCGTAGCAGAGTTCATTTAGAATTGTCATCAGATTTTTGTGAGTTGTTACGGAACGCATAAATTAAACAAAGAAAAGCAATATATGCGCATGCATGTATGTATGTATGTTTTATCTATAGAATAGAAATCAAGGCAAAAGATTCGGTCAATCGATGAATCACGGCGTTGAAAATTTCATAATTATATTGTAAACCTACGCCTACTTTATAAATTATATAATAAATGCCTAATAACTTAAACGATCTTAAAGCTTTCAAATCCATTAAATATTGAAAAACTTTGAACTTTTAACGGTTTTTCGTTAATTTCTTCATCACCTAATCATCAAATACCATTATCGTCATTATCATCATACGCGCCATCAACCACATCATCGCCATCATCCCGATCATCGTCACTATTTTGAACATCCAACGTTGGCATTGGCATTAAAATTTCTGATCATTCATTTGTATATTGCGTGAACAAAGAGCATTTCGTTTCACCTTTAAATTGGTTCTACGGAAATAAAGATTGCACGCGTGTTTGCTGTGCAGAGTTAATAGCAGAACGGATCGTATATTAGTGCATTACTTTACAACATATCATCACACCTTTGAGAAAGCAGAGACGTAACATCTTGTCATTAACCTACGTAAGTTGACAATTAATTTTACTAACTCCACTCAACATTCACGACGCAATCATGCTATGCCAGCATGCACATCCACATCCACATCCAATGTGCGTATATAGGTAACTGGCTAGTTGGTGCGCATTGTTTAAGGTCAGTATCATATTTATAAACCAGATTGCGCGCTATTTATCTGCAGCACTTTTTTATTGCTGTTGAATTGAAGTGCGATTTCAAGGAAGTCTTTACAATCAAACGACGCAGTAAAATAACATTTATATAATAATGCGGATAATAAACGACCAGTAGGGGTGTGTAAATTAATCAAGACCCTTTTTTTTTTTTTTTTCTTTATACACTTTGCACAAGGACAATCTGCATTCATTTCAATAGTTAAGATAATTAATCAGTGCATTTAATTAATTGTCTTCAGATATTTGTCACTGACAGTGAAACAGTGCCATTGAAATTGTACACACTCATGTCTATGAAGATGTCGACTGTCGCGACTTTCCATGTTTGTTTACCTAACGTCCGTCATGGATAATTAGAATCATTTCTTTTTCTATTTAACTTGAGTTTTTTTTTTGGACTGGAAGCCACCTTTGTATGTTATGCGTATTTTAGGAGCTAATAAAAGGAAAATCAGAAAAAGGGAAATTTAAGAGCTACTAAAAGGAAAATGAAGAAAACTTATCGATATTCTTTTATTTTGACTGGGAGACTTTTAGCATTTCCATCTGCAGGCAGACGGGGGTTTCTTTCGTGTCATAGTACTTCTCTTCTCTTATCTAAAAGTAGATAATTTATACTCTTCTTACTTTTTACTTCGGTGAAAAGTGGTAACAAACTACGAACAAAAGAAGAGTGCTGATGTGAAAATATTTTAGCACAACTTCATCAAGATTATGCGTTGAATGGGCTCTCTGAGAGGCCGAGAATGGTTCCAAAATGAGTTAGTGCTTATGTCAAGTAATTAAATTGAAAATAAAATTAAAAGAATATTTTTATGTTGATTGTGGGCTCCGCTATAAAATTGTACACTGTTCTTGCTCTTTTCGCCATGATTGCGGAACACGTAAAGTGTAAAACGTGCAATTGTGCCTTTGCCAGATGCAGCACACTCCGTTATAACGTTTTCAAGTAAGAAGAATGAAAGAAAACAAACCAGTTCGAATCTTATTTTGTAACGAAGAATTTTTCATTTAAATACTCAAATATATATATATACATATATATAAAATCCCTTCCATTTTGCTAGATTTAGATATGTGATTCTCATTTTTAAACTTGGCCTAGTTACACTGTAGTAGTAGAACTCTTTCAGTTGAATATGTCTCACGAGATTGACTTAGGTGTTGCTATTTTTTTCAAAAAATACCTTTCATTTCAATACTTAAATATATGGTTAATAACTTCTTCTATTATAATAATTGTATGACTCTATCTTCTATTCCAAAAAAATTGGCAAAAAATCCTTTTTTATATTCTACAGCACTTAAGATAGACCGACCTAACGGGCGATTCAGAATCGCTTCATGCATCGATCCACGCTTGCTTGTCCGTCTGTCCGTCTTGTCTTCTTGTGGTGATATTTGGTACACCGACCTTTTTTTGGCCTAAGGATGAACGCTATTGAAAATGGTTCGGATCGGATCATTTTATCGATCACTTTAGATCGCTACATGAACGATATAGTACGATACTCTATGATACGACAGATAAGCCGGAAAGTGCTATGTGCAAATTAGCTTTCATTTCTAGCAACTGCAAAGGGAATGATAAAATTAGATAAGGCTCATGTTGCTGGGTTCAAAAGCGCAGCTTTAAGTGAAGAGCAAGAAGGTTATCTCTACTAAGGTGCTGCTAATTGGTCGCATTTGCTCCTCAAAAACACTCTTAAGAATATTTTATTGAGATCTTTATTATGGAAAACCTAAACTTGAAATTCGATAAACGGAAAAGTTATGTTTTTGAAAATTTCCTCTCTTGCACTCCTCGTAATGCTAACAATCTAACATCATTTTACAGTAACACCAACACTATGATGATAAAAACATATGTGAGTTATGTCAAATTTTGTTGTTGTTATTTATTTATTACAGTAACTGCAATCTTTGATGCTGTAGTTGTTATTCAGATGTTATTATCGCTGTTTTGTGTGTGTTGTTCAAACAAAAACACAGAGAGTTTATAGAGAATAAAGATATGTTTATGTGTGCTTCTCTACATATACGCGATAATTTTAGTGGTAGTAGTAAGACGTAAAAAGATTTTGGCGCCTACGCACAACATATTTTTGTTAAGTTTGAAATGGTGTATAAATGCGTTTTCCTTTTTGTATACAAACCGACCAAACCACAAAAAAAACTAGTGTAGATTATTGTTTAACAATGTTTTCGTTAAACATGAAAAAGTTTTTTTTAAATATGATTTGCACAACAGCGTTTTTAAATAATTTTAACGGATTTGGTTTTTTGAACATTAAAAGGGGAAACAAGAAGAGACAGAGAGGGGGAGAAAGAGAGAGAGAGAGAGAGAGAGAGAGAGAGAGAGAGAGAGAGAGAGA